CATAGGCTGATTTAAAACCCAGCCTACACACTCACTGTCCAAAGAAATTAAAATAAACCATTATTTCAGTCCGATTGCGGAAGTTGTCTATTCAGCATCTATAAAAAACCGAATTTTTGTTTGGACAATGGGACGGCTAAATTACTACAGACCTGTGCATTGTGCAGTGTTTAAATCCCCTGGAATTTGTGTGGTTTCTGTCAGTTGAACTTGAACGCCCGCCAGAGGTCATCGGTGTATTAAAACAAAATCGGATTGTCGAGTTCCTTTAGCAGAAACCAATCATTGTTCAGCGTAATGCGTTTAAGGGGTAGGTGTTTTGGGCGCCTGTAGACTACAGAGGGGATCGTCCGTACGACTACGCAGCGTGTTTGCATTTAACAACAACTTGAATGCGACACATGTCGAGAGTGTTTGAAAGTAGCTGGTTTCATTTAGTACTTCCCCTAATTTCCAAACCTTTACGGGAACTTTTTATGCTAACGGTAAAGACAACCTCCAATTCTCACTTCTGTTGGCCAGATTATAATTTAAACCGAAAGGCACTATGCACAAACTGGGATGTATCTTCTGTTCGCCAGCAGTGGTTTGTGAACTGTCGCTTTTATACGACTTTTTACTTCCCTACTTTTTAAATTCCGCTGCTGCTACGGCAATTTTCTGCATCGAAAGTTTACACTTGGCCTATTATTTTAAATGTGCGTTTAAGGTGTCAAAGCTAGGTAGAGTTAAGGTTGCCATTGCGCATAATTTATACGCCTGATTAAAAATCACGTTTTTAATCGTGGTTCATTCCTGTCTATGGGGCATGGACTAATAAAGTAATCCGTCAGCTTGGGTGCCAGCGTCTGCTTTTTTAGTAAATTCAACATATTTAAAGGACCGCGAAATCACTGAAAGTCAACCTTGGCCTTAGCCATTGCAGAAATCCGCATGGCAGAATTGGATTGTGTTAGTTCACGTTCAAACCTTTCTGATTATTTTAAGTTTTGTCTCTGTTTCTACTCATACAATGAGGTTACAAAAAAGGCATTTAATGAGATTTAAGGGCTGTTAGATGTGTGTCATGGCTTTTCAAAATTTCGCTGCTCCCAGTAATACTATTCAGGCCCAAATAAATGCCTGAATATCAACAAAATTGGCTTTAATTCATGCTAAAACTGTTGCAAATTTCATTGAAATTTTATTTTAATCTTAATGTAGCGTTTAAGAAAATGTGGAACGAAAAATGCGGAAGTGGGACTCTACAAAGAGAAAAAAATTCCATGGCAAGATTTTTCCAACACAGTCAAACGCGGTTAAATGAAACTTTTGAATAACCTTAAAAATGTTGACTAGATTTTCTCTCCGATAACGCCATCGTAGCTTTTACGCATGTGCTTAGTCTCATACACGCTCACAGGGAGAACTTGGCTCCGTTTTTCTAGAGCTGTGTAAATCACTTAATTTCTAAAGCCAAATGCATAGTTTTCACTTTCCAACATGCCAAAACAGATAAAATATTACATTCAAGATTTACGGCTGTAAGTAGTGCATGCATTTGCGGGGGTTACTTATGTCCACTTATTCTCGAAGTCTCAAACCTGGTATTTCTGACTTTCTATAAAAAAAAGTCTTATTTAGATTGGGTGTTTCCTTCCGACGATCAACTTTCCACGCAAAAGTTACCATCTTCTAACTGAAATCAATTCAGTAGCTTGATCAAGGGACCATATTGGGCCACTAAGTGTCTAACCGTTGCCTGAATACCTGACAACTGATGATCACACTTTTAAACTTTAAGAAATCAAGTCGTTGGTAAGATGTTGCATTGGATTTATGTGCAATAACGTGCTAAATCACATTTCCATTCCATAAATTACTTGATGCTAAGTGAAACCCACGTAAGAATGGGGTAAAAGTTAGATAAATATTCTATCGGATGAACGGGGTCGTATGAGTTCGTGTTTTTGGTCTAAGACACCAGCGACTTCCAAAAGTGGTTGATTAGTTGCTTGGATTTTGGAGAATTTTAGTTGTTTGCAGGCTAGAACTAGAAATTTCTGTACCATTCCTGGTAGGCATTACAAGTGATTCATACTGCGATGAGGGTGGGATCGAGGGAACCTTAAGATTTTCGATGGATGTCGTTGGTAGTTTGGAGCTTGTCTAGACTCAAAACTTGTCTGATCGTCCGCTACGTGTTTTATTTGTAAAAAAAACCACCGCCTTGAACTTCACAAACGCGTACGCTGGCCTTGTTGTTGGCTACCTTTGCACAACCTACAAATAAGCAGTTTTATCAAAGCCGACACGAAAAATTTGATGAGAATTGAGTATTTCACCACACCTGTGGCCACCCAAGGTATTAAACACTCCAAATGTTCCCATATGTATGCCTCTATTTTAAAGAACTTGTTGAGAATCGTGTTTATTCATCCCCTTAATCCGGTCGCTCCGCCTCCGACACAGGCTTCCCCTTTTCGCAGCATAGCGCCAACCGCGCGAATCCTCAACTCCCCCTTCATTCACACGAATACTTATCTTGAGTTATCCTCAGACCTAGGTCTCGATGTTACCGCAGTTATGACCCAAACATCCGAGCTATAAATGCACACGCGCAAACCCCACACACGACACAACGACTTCGTCAGACTCTCGAATAAACGGATGACTCTCTGTCCTTCCAGACTTCATCCTTGTTGGGTAGTTAGTGGTATATGGCGTCTCAACAAACTCGTAGTCGAAATTGTCGGTTTTTGGCACAACACCACCCATAATTCCCAGGAGATGCTGAAGCCCTCTTCGCTAATTCACTTTCTAGGTTGGAATTGAAGTAAATGCAACAAGACACGCTCTGCTGGTGTCTGCAAAGTAAATTTAAAATTGTTTTATCCAGAGGCGGCAGTTACGATGACGAAGAGTTTCAGTATTTCTCCTGCGAGAATAGCGATTAAATTTCGTCGCTCGTTTCCGCCCCAAAAAGCGCCATTCTCCACGTGTTGGTTTCAGCTTCGTTGATCATTAATTAATTGAGAATTCAAATGCACTGCAGGAAGGACAAGATGTAATCTACGAGACTTCGATGTAAAGCAAACATTTTCGGCAAGTTTTTCTTTCAGACGCGCAGATTTGACTGTGGAAACTTATGGCTATGTTTCGAGTAGCCACAAAATTCGCCACCTCCGAAATGCTAAGAAATTTCTCAACCACCATCTTACTGGACTACGCTTGCATCCCACTAAATGACTTTGTGACACTGTGTTTATGGCAGTCGTGTGATGTCTGATTTAAATATTGTGTGCGCTAAAGAATGAGCTGTTTGCAGTATTTTTCCATAACCATATGCAAATTTTTTTGCTCTTTTGAGAGCACGCCTGTGGAATTCAGACCAACAAGTTACATCCCGCAACGCCATTTCTAATGCAGCGCACAAATTTCCAAAAAAATAATCCAAAAGCCTTATTCGCCAAGAAAGGCAGACATACAACAGTTTGTGTTTGTTCCAAGACCACGTAAATTTTTCCCGCACGAATTGCCTGCTCTAACTAATAGTAGGCACTTGCAAACATTGAACGAGTTTAATTATGTTAGGTGGCCGTATGGCCTGGTAGCCCCCTCCATTTGATCCACCTCACTTCAAATTAGACAGCGTTGCATGTGTAAAAACAGTGTGTTAAATTATTGCTGTTACTTGATGGCCAAATTCGTCATCTACGTGCATGCGGTTGTGTCAAACGGATGGCCCTGTTCACGTAAGCCGTCACCCACAGCCGGTCTCGTGTTCACAAGCATAAACGATGCTCCTTCTGCAGCTTCTACCAAATTGTCCCAGCTAAATCAATTGAACGAGTTGAAGTAGTACTGCGTCGGTCGCAATTTGTTGAACGTAATGGTCATGCAGAATCTGCTTGCGCATTTCGTCCAGCGTCTATTGCGCCTCTTAAAAAATGCCTCCATCATGTCATATAACATCGAAAAGGCCCTTCTACCCAAAACGGATGTTGTAGCTTAAACAGTCATCAGATATACACATACATCCAGTTCCGATCTATACGGGGTACGTACTTCTAACGGTATAACCCTTCCTGGGCGTTGGTCGCAGAAAAAACTTATTTGTAAAGTCAACCATCATTGGCCCATATCGTCTTTAATTAAACAAGTCTTTGCTTGGTTTCTGCTTGCTAAACTGCACTGCATGTTTCCTACGAGATCAACGCATACTGGGAATATCCTGCCAATGAAACTGAGATGCGTAATCAAAGTTGGGCCTCAAACATCCAGGATTATTGGTCGTGTGAATTTTACCTCCGCTTTATATCCCACCTTCACTCGTAAGAGGTACCGTGAACCATAATTAGATTGGACAAACATTTGTTGACTTGCAAAAATCACGATTGCGCCAACAAATTGTCCTTAAGAATCTAAATCTTTGTGTGCCTAGCCGCGGTAGGCATCATTAATCATCCGACTTTCAATCAGCCGTTCCAGAACACACGCAGTTAATTAATCACGATTTCTAGAAAATAGAATTAATTTGGACGAAGGCCCACTTACTTTTTACCCACCACCCTTTGCTACATTTCCCCGATTTAAAGGTTTATTTTCAGGGAGTTACAAAATTACAGGTTTCGTTACCAGCTACTTGATTCAGCAATGCCTATAAATGTAACGCTAAGCACCAAACACCTAATGGATAAAGATGACGTCAGCGGTAGACAAAAGACACGGATTTTGCTTTCAAGATGCGCAGCCTTTGAACACGATAGCGTTCTGTTTTATACTTTAAATTGGTGAAGACTGCATCCACTGCTTTTCGTTACACTGGCTGTTCCCACCAACAAGCTTTTTTATGGCTAAATTTGTGACCAGCGTCATTCCAGATGCCAATAATGAATCGTTAATACGACTTCTTCAAAATACTATTCCATTTCAAATACACTTAACTGATTTTGCGGACAGACTGCAAAGAACTCACTACAACGTCACATTACAGTAACAAGTGTGTCCGTTATAGTCCTATGAAACTCTCCTCGCGGCCTCTATTCTGCGTCTTTCCAATCGTCTCCGCAGATGTTCAGACAACCTCGCACAGCGAATTGGGTAAGACGTGCGTCTGTGCCAATGTGGAACTCGCTGTCCCATCGTCTAGATAGCTAAAAGTTCGCTTCTTTCAGTGCTCCAAGTTCGGATGCCAACTCCCCTGTTACAGCTAGGAGCAGGAAAACTGGTATGAAGACTTCAACGTCCCTCCATCAGGAACTGAACGATTCCCTCTCAAATATGCGAACGGTTGAACAACAACTGCAGTGTATGTTGGCGTTTCAATAAACACACACACACACACACACACAACTACTTAATTCCATTAAGCAAAAAAGGTATTTTCTTTTGCATCAGACATGGAACACATTCTGTTCGGTGGTGAACGGAGCAAGTCAACCGAGACCGACTATCTACAGGAGTTAGAGCGGATTAATAATGAGTTGCGAGGGTTCGTACCAATTAGTGGGGATAGAGAGACGGGCGGAGCGGGCACCTCGATCTCCCACATCACTCCTGAGGCAACGGATTCAGGGGTCGAGGGGTCGATAGCCACAAGAGGGGAGGTTGCAGGGGAAGTTCCCAATGGAGGCACAACCAGCCACGGAGATGCCTTCCCGAATGGAGACTTCTATTGACCTCCATCCTTTTTACCTGTAAACTTTCATCTGCGCTTTTCCCTAAGCACCATCACTAAGTTACAAATCAATGAAATTTAGTTATAACAGTTATCGTCTTTCTCTACATGGCATTTCACACATATTATTTAGAAGACGCTTCCTATGAAACTCTACCAAATAAAAAGGACCACGTAGGAAAACGTTTTCAGCATTTGTAAAAATATTTAATCAAGTAACATTGAAACGCAAATATGGTAAGAACATACAACTGAGAAAAAAATTATATTAACAAAAATTACTTGGAATTCAGTGCGTGTCAGGTGGCCTTATTTTCTCCTGGTGTCGACGAAAAAAACCGAAATCAATTAAAGTGCGTTGGTTGGTAGAAATTTGAGGAACTGATAGTTGGACATCGGCTGACGAAGTGCTTTCCTGTATATCTTTAATCGCAGGCTCACCTGTCAGGCTGGCATAAAAACGACGGGATGGAACAGCCATTTCGGAGTAAAGGTTTTCTAAAGGTTTTAGGATGCATGAAGAACATTGACTTACTTGTGGGCGACCTCGGTTCGTTTCGAAAACGTTTTTGACAAGGCACGGATGGCTGAAAATTGTCGTCATGTCTACGTTTATTGCTGTCGCACATCTGAAAAACAAGCGTGCAGATCGTAAACGAATCGTGAACGACTAGCATTTATGAGTCCTCAAAACTAGATGACAAAATTCAGTGACTAAAGTAAACGAGGCTCAAAGGTTAAAATAATTATTCGTATGTGAAAAGTTTGGCTGACAACTTTAATCAACATGTGACTTGTCCATTCATACCTTAAATCAATTAAATATAACGTGAACCTATAGAGCACCATTATAGTGTGTTCTAAATAATAATGCAGGGCGATGCACTAGTTAAAAACAGCAGACAAAATTTACTCGCGCAAATGACTAATCTTACATATTTAGCAAGACAGTTTTCAGTAAATTCTTTTGAGAATAAATACCTGGTAATTTTGAGAAGCTGCAAAGAAATCCAAATAATTCCAGTTTAAAAATCCCGAAACAAAAGCCGCGACCTTCTATTGGCTTTTCAAAATAGTCAAGCTTTCTGCGTTTTGGTTAAATTTTAACGTTAAAACAAAGAGATATGTTTGTATGTTTTTTTTTTATTTCGATTTTTTCAAACAATAACTTGTATAACTATTTTCAGCACTCTGTGTGTATTCATTTTAAATTTTTAAAAAAATGCTGATTTTAAACATCGTGGGGACTATAAATTTGGCCACTCAGCACATATGAAGGACTGGAGATTCTGCTGGAAAGTATATCCACGAAAAAAAGATTTTGAAAGTGACTTAATTTCACCTTAGTCGCGTACATATTGTGCACATCTGTTAGTATTTACCGGATTATTGAATAATGTCAAATGTTAAAGAAATCATGAAGTATGCTCAATGGTAAACTTAGGTTAGGATCCTTCGAACGCCTTAGCTTTTTATCGAATGAAAAAAGCTTGGAGGAAGTCCTAAAAAGGTTAAATATTTAGCATGTATATCGAATAGGCGTTTGAAAATATTCCAAAGACTAGCCTTTACTCGGACTAAAAACATCAATTTTTCCGATTATGAACATTATCCAATCTTGGTCTTTGAACACAACACAATATTTTCAAACCGTTTTCTTCTTACAGTTCTACTGTGCAGGCTGTACCTTATCTATAATTCGCCCCATAATATGTGTTTTCTTACTGCCCTAAACCCGATGTCTATTCCCACCTTTCTGAAAAGAACTCAATGTCGTGAAACCGAACTTAATTTGAAGTCACCCAAATAGCATTCAGTAGACCTAAAACTGAATCCCATTGTACTTGAATTAGTGCTTAATACTAAAATTTATAAGAAAGCAATGTATACATTGTCGGGGTTTTTTGCAATTTAGATTGTTAAATGCTGCAAAGTGACTTACGCCATCAGTGTTCATATGTATAACCTGAAAAGATACCATTAACTCCTTTATATGTTTTTTTGCCTATTTCTCTATGGCTCAGTTACTCCCTATGTTCAGGTCGAGCTGCTTGTAGTCGCATTGCGTCTCATGGCAGAAACTGCGAACAAAAGAATCCAATATCTTTAACCCAATGACAAAGCTTCTAGTTACTTGTATAGCAAAGATTTGAGCACAGGTTAATTTTACGCAGAACAGCAATTGCGCTACTAATCCATGTGACTCTTAACTCGTAAATATTTTGAATGCTTGTTGGTCGATAATGTACAAATATCTGCTACCTACTTTACATTTTCCTATATCCCTCTGCTACATGATATTTTGTTTTAACGTCAGTGTGTTTGATGACCTCATAAGAATAATCAAATCTGAGTCGTGAATATTTATTGTGATGGTGTCCTTTTCGAAGCTAAGATATAAATTGGCAATGTAAAAATGGAGCGCGCTTAATTTATATAAATTTGGCTTAACTCTTTGTTGGTGTGTTTAAAGATAGAGTATATTCCTTTTTTTACACGTTTGCCTTGGTCATTAACATAACTGAATCAACAGGACAACTGCCATTAGGGTTTGAATGCTGACGACACAAAACCTGAATCACCTGCCAGAAGCTCATCGCCTTAAAGGTTTACATTTAGAAAGCCGGGTGTCTCGCTGGCATGAGAAAGTGCCGATGCCAACACGACCACACCTTCAAGTGTGCATTTAATGGTCTAGACAAGAAAGGCTACAATTGAGACCATTAATGGCAATTTTTGTCCGTTTTGATGCCCTTCTTGGTCTCATTTTGATTAATAATGGCTGATTTATCAGTCAGTGTCTTCATTTTCGTTTTACAGGACTGAGATGATGCTGCATGCTATTTACCTCAAACAAATTTTACTTGGAGTTTCTACTTTAGCAAGTGCTCATGTTGTTTACAAATCGCCAAATTGTGCCTAAATTACGCAATAAAATCAGTTTTTAAAAAATTGAGCTTTTAAACTTAACAGAAAATCATTTTAGGTCTATCAGCCTCAACCGAGGGCCAAGCTCAGGGTTAGTCACTTCAGCTATCAATTCCACATTGAGTAAAACAAGGCACCGTAACCACATAATTTTAATTAATTCGAAAACTACATTCCAAGTCATGAACTGGTCACCAAATTCCACCCATTTCATGAGCACCTTTGCCAATTCTTGACGTCAGCATTTATTCCAAGGTAGTGGTGATGATATAGGAGGAAATTTGGGTACAAAAGTCAATAACTTGCAGTCATGAGAAATTCCATTCAATGGTGAGGACTCGAAATTGATGATTAACCAATAGAATCTCCGGATTAATTGAAGCAGTTGTTTTAATGCATCTATCGACAATAAAATTTAGAAAGGGACGTAACTTGCCTGAAGTAAACTTAATGATAAGCGGAACCCATGCAAGAATAGTAGTACCTTCGTGAGCAAATAAATCGCTTAATTTAAAGGTCTCACCTGAAAACACAAAAATAAGAATTCAACTTTTTGAGAAAATGAACCAAACTGAGTTCTTAATCATTGCCTGATTTATGACACTAGATTATGTACTTGCAGGGGAAGTAGAATTTCCCCGGATGAAAGATAGGCAGCTAGAAGCGAGACTGAGAAACGGTACCTCGAGGGAAGATCACATCGTCTATTTTCGTATTGTGTAATAATCAGCTTAGTTATCTTGCATACCTTACAAGGAAAGCGTATTTCACTGAAGTTGATTTCCAGGCCAATGACCTCTAAATCTCACTGTTTTAAAACAAAGTTCACAAAAATAATAAGAATTGTAGAATTAAAAGAAATGAGCAGATGTTTTGAGAAAAGATGTCAAAAAGAGTGCCCTTCTGTCTAGAGATAGATGGTGCGTGTAGAAGATCTTTCGGGATGTAGTGCAGCCTAGACTCGAAATATTCTTGTATTCCATCAGGACGCGTTTGGCTACGGATGATCAGGTGCTGTTTTAAATCTCGTTTAGTAGAATACCACTCCAGGGAAACAAAAGCATTTGGCTTAAACTTTAAATTCCCTGGTCCCTTTGGACTTTACCAGTACCATCTTTTAAATGCAATTTTAAATTGTCCTAGATGATGGGATCACACTGTCGAAATGAAAGCACCCAGCTAACAGCAGGGATCAATGGATTCGAAGTCTGCCATTACTGGCTCCTTTGTAAACCGCCACCAAGGACCGCCATCGAAGTAAAGAGGCTGGCTATTTAACAACGTTAATTACTGCAATTTTGAAAGGCAGTGAGCAGATTAGATGCTAATTATCGGGCAAATCCCTTCGTTTAGTAAAGTCAGCCGATTTTAGGGCTAAGGCTTTTAATCTTTGCCTGACACACAGGGCGCCCCGTCTATCGAGTAATCCCTGTATTCAGATCGCGTCAACCTTCGACGCCAAGCTCTCTTCGTTACGGTCACTGTCTGCTTTAATCAGGCTGGAACAAACAAATTCTTCTGGAAAAACAATACAAAAGGCAATTAAGACTTGAATAATGGCGAGGCCTTTGGGTGATTTAATGCTCTTGTCCCTGGTCAACGAATTTGCTTGTGGGTGTATGCTTTCCACCAACCATGTTTTAGGTCTTAATTTAAACTGATAACTGTGAATGTTAAAAATTGAACTAAAGTGTTTCTTTAAAATCATTTTTGTAAGAACATTCTTTTCTTTCATCCGCATTTGCAACGGACTTGTTATATTCTCTGGACATTTAGCACTTTAATTGCACAGCCTGGAATTGCCTTGGTGACTGCGAATCTCTAAAACTGTTTTCTTGGCTACAAAAGCGCTTTACCCGCATTCCAAGTATACCAGGCTAGCGAAATTTGGCAGGCATGCTGATATGTAGCGCGTCAACAATTTGACATCACAAACTCAAAACAAGTTAATCGGATTTGCGTACATTAACGACAATAAACAAATTAAAAGTAATTTTTCTACGCTCGCCAGACAAATGACATTTATGCGATGTACTTTTTTTTGTTTCAACCAGGAAGAAGGTAAATTTTATTTTTGCCCAATTGTTTTGGGAAAAAATTTCATCTAACTCTCTTATTTCCGGGTTGGAGCTGTCTATTGTGCAAGTCTTGGCTTCATCCGTATCTTAGTGACAAATTGACAAAAGTTTGTGAGCATGGCAATTTCCATAGATTTTATAAATGGAAAATGGACTTGAATCATCTGAAGCCAATAAAGGTACTTCTAAAGTTTTTCTAGTAGATTTTCTTCAAACCTAAAAAGGAGCATGTTTCAGAAGTGTAGAATTTTATAATTTTAAACATGTTTAGCAAATTTATTTAATGTAAAACTTTGAACTTAATCTTGGAAATATTGTCGATCATTTTTCATGATCTTGCGCCATCTCTCTTAAGTAACGTACAAATGCCGTCGTGAACGAGACTTGCAGGCTTCGAGGCAGCAAAGTCATCATCGACGAAGTGTTTATACAGAAAGGCGTGCTGCTGCACTGACCGGAACACAAGGTAGTCGGAAGGGGGGCCAAGTCTGGTGAGTATGCCGCACGTGGGGGAACTTCCCATCCCAGCTTGAAGAGGGTCTTCTAAGTCGTGTGAGCTACGTGAGGCGGTCGAACGGACATGCGACGGCAGTATGACTTGCTTGCTTCCTTGTCCAGTGAATGGCCTTTTCTAATCACTTTCTCCGCTCATTTTGTTCAACTGTCGGCTGTGACGTTCCGCAATCATCATCTAACGTCCAGTTTCCAGGAGTTCATGATAAAGTACACTCTTCTTGTCCCACCAGATACACAGGAGAACCTTCTTCACGTGGGAGCCCAATTTCGGCGTCGGTGTACTGGGCTACCCGTAATTTACCCTCAACAACTTTTTATATGTAGGATTCTTGAAAAAAATATACTTTTCATCACCCATCACAATGTTCCACAAGAAGTCCATTCACTGCATATTGTCGGTAGGCAAGCAGTGAAAGGCATGTGTTCATACATTGACCTAGGTTGTGTTCGGTCAACACATGTGGGACCCAGCTTGCAAGAGCTTGGTGGTGAAAACTCCTGGAAATTACTGTTTGGATGACTCCTAACTGAGCTGCAGGCTCCTGTTGCGTTAGCGTTGAGTCTTCATCCAGTAGAGCTTGCAATTCCGCATCTTCAAAATTTCGAGGCTGCTGACTGGGGCACGGCTGGTCACCAAGATCAAAATCACCACTTCTAAAACGCTTGTACCACTAATCACACGTTTCATAAGACACTACGTTGGCACCACTGACACTAAAACTTGATTCCCGTGCTTTGGGATCATTTTTTCTTTGTTGGAATTCGTTCAAAGTACAGTTATCAGTTGCCATTGTAACCTCTGAGAGGCTGTGTAAGTCAAGTAGACTTGTCATTCACTGTTTTGAAACCTTGCGTCCGATACATTTAAAACCCAGAAAAGACAGCAAAAGTATTTCCATCTTAAATATAATTTTAAGCTCAAAGAGAATTCTGCACAAATTAAGCATTTACCTAATAGTTTAGTCAGGAGTGGTCAGACGACTGCGATTCAGTAGTAGTAAACTTGTGCTTATAACCACGACAAATATCGGAGTGTATATTAGAATATTTTGCATCAGGCCCTGAAGCCAACCACAAGTTGTTCCTTCTTCAAATTCTTCCGAATACAGTCTGAGATGGCTGGAAATCAGCGCAGCTGCCCGTATCAAAGCACGAGAAACACCTGTTGCACACCGATTAAAGAAGGGTTCGGGGGGAGGACGGTGGGGGCGCGCATGTTCCTGTCAGGTTCCGCTTCTCGCCTTCTGCCTTCTGTACTTTATTGACTCCGTTTATGATCGCTAGAGACCCCTGCTCTCCCAAATAGTTGGTTTGACCTGATCTCTTTGGCCTCACAATAACAGGTTTTCAATACAAAATGTCATCGGTACGTGGCGGCATGTGCAAAAAGGCGACCCCAGATAGTTCAATCAGTAATGTAGCGAGCTACGTCTAGTTTATTACATAGTGTAAGAGAGATCTCATTGAACAAATGTGGCCTGCATTTGGGATTCTGAGGCAACTGAAATCCACTGCAAAACGCTAATATTAACCATGTTATATAACAGAGCTTAAGGCCCCTGAACTACCTTGAATGCAGATGTCGGTCAAATACAACAGCTTGAAAGCTTTGATGTTTCGAGCCCTGGGGTCCTAATTACCTAAGGTATTCCTAAAGTACTGCTAACATAATACTTCATTTCAAATGCCACAACTACACTTTCTGGCCTAGGTGTGCAAACACTTTGAGCAACGAATAGTCTAGGCGGGTATGTGCCCCTTGCATTAGGACTGGCGTTGTCTTAAAGAAATCAGCGTTAAATGAAGCCGAACGACTCGATCTTCTACTCACCCCCACCCTATACACCCCAAACTCCAGCTAATCCCACTAACCGGCGTCCACTCAAACCCCTCCCCTCCCCTAGCTTGGTCCAATCCAGCCGCAACCGTAATAAAACTCTCATAGGGCCAATTACCCGCTTAATCACTCATTAGTGCTTGTTTAAGTTGCGCTATAAGACACCCCCGAGTTCTCAGACTCGGTCTGCCATGCCACTCATTATGACCTCTCCAACGGGTGACGACATCGCAAAGCCGGAACACGGCACCCCTCCAAGGAGCGAGAATCAGCTCTCCCTCCATGACCCGAGTCCAGAAGTCGAAGTTGCCAAGACCGAGGTCGTTAAACAGGAGCATAAAAGAGAAAGATGGGACACGAAGGTTGATTTCTTGTTATCCGTGATTGGATTTGCTGTCGACCTGGGAAATATTTGGCGGTTCCCCTATATTTGTTATCAGAATGGTGGAGGTAGGATTTTAAAGTTTGTGGATCCTTTATATAAGGGCCTTTTTTGGCTTTTAAAAAGTGCTCAAAATATTAACCCGTACTGTAACTTCACCGTCTTGCACGGTAATAGTCTTAACTTATCAATCCGGTAATTACCCAACGTAATCTCTCCCTCCTCTACATGTATTTTTCGCTTAAGACAGAGTAGTCTTCGATCAAAAGTAATTTCAAGATCACAAAGTACTTAATACTATATACTTCTAGGAAAAATTGTTCACTACTTCTAATCGGATTGCACATTATAATTAAAATAACATGATGTAAATGAGTTGTCGTCGCGGCATCTAAGCTGCGAGGCAAATCTGGGTAATTAGTGAGATGTCATATGTCTAAGACCCGATATAGACACCCCTAAACCTCTTATGCAATTACCTCTGACATATCAATTTCCACGAATGTAAAAACTGGTCTTTGTGTTAGTTTCTAAAACTTATATGGCTTTGCTGGCGCACAGGGCCCTTCAAACAGGATTTGCATATTCGTCCAACTTTACAGCCATTTGTAGTATGGCCGAAACTTCGATTTTGTATCGACTTGGTAAAGAAAATGATTTTTTATTAATCGAAATCGTTGATGTGAAACTACAAAGTACTGCCAAGAACTACTCCAGCCCAGGATTACAATGTTGAGTAATTATTTTAACAGATTTTATGGGGACTAGCTCATTGATTGTCTAGTTCTACAGACATTGAGAGGGGACCCCAACGATCTTTTATGTTTTCAAACTTCCTAAATAACCGTTCGTCTCAGCATGTTTTACAACAGGGGAACGACCCAGATACCTAGGAGCCATGGTTGGATGTATAATTGTTGCCTGAACTGCGAAAATGAGTTCTACCGAGTCCCAGCAATGAAAGCCGAACAATTACAAATGCATCTTGAAAATCCTATGCACTATCCAAATCCTGAGATACAGCTTCTACGCACTGCAATAAAGCACTCTTGGATCCTAGGATGGTACATTAGGTTATGCTGGTTCAAAGTTCAGAAATTCATTCAAAGTAGAATCTAGGGGGTCACAATCTCGGCCATTGTGTTGGACACACTGCGAACGATCACTTTGTGACTTTCATGCCTTTTGTCAATAAGACACAGGAGTCCACATTCTTTAGATGAAATCTACCAAACAGTCCTTTTCTAGTTTTTATTCTCCGAGAAAATGGGAGCCCGAATAACGAGGCACAGTTGGTTGAGAATACAATTAAGCCTTTTAGATCCCTGTCCGATAAATTTAGGCTCTCGTGACACAGCTGTATTGTTAACTGAGGACTGTTCTGCAGTTGACATCTAGTAAAAGTAATTTTTAAATGGCCTTTTTAAAGATTGAAACGTTGCTTTTCTTCTTTCTTTTCAACCAGGAGCATTTCTGATCCCGTACTTGCTGATGTACGTTTTCGGTGGCCTGCCACTATTCTACCTAGAACTAGCTCTCGGCCAGTTTCAGCGAAGCGGATGCATCTCTGTGTGGAACCGCATCTGTCCCCTCTTCACCGGTGTGTCTGGTTTTGTATAACACAGTCAGCAATTGGCGTTCTCACCATTTCCCTCAAAGTTTGCAACAAGCTCTTTCTCACCGATGAAATCTTACACATGCTAGATCATCTCATCGCTTGTTAGGTTATAGAGAGTAGGCAAATGATTGGTTCTGGATGCTAAGCAATTTGACTTGTAGACGGCTAAATTACATTTCAACTGGTTGTGCCTTCATCCGAGTTGTGGTGGTCCAACCAGCCAATCAGTCTTTTCCCTTTTATCGATTTTCTGGCAAGGAAAAATAAGTTGACTCATTCTTTGAAGGTGTGGCGTCTGCAGTGCGCTTTTTGGATGGACAACGCAGAGCTTTCAGAAATTCGTTGCGATTTACTTATTCGTAAATACCTTTTAGCTGTCTGTGGTGTATTAATATTTGGGCCAACAGAAAGGAAGTTAAAGTTTTTGGTAAGAAGCTGATTCTCAATGCAATGGGAATTTGTATCATTTCCTGAATTTGTGCGTCATTGGTGGTAATGGGGGGGATCATATGGTGGAGTACTTTGGTTTTTGCACAACAGGTCTCGGTTATGGAATCTGCATAATTGCAAGTTACACAGCCTGGTACTACAATACAGTGATCTCCTGGGCCCTCTTCTACATGTTTGATTCAATGAGATCGCGACTACCCTGGGATAGCTGTGATAACTGGTGGAATGACAACGAAACCTGCATTACGGTCTACCAGAAGCTAGTTAGCGACGTCAACGAAACCCACGGCAATGTCACTGCTAATCAAACTAGGATCACGGTGAACACAACAGGCTACTATTCTTCGACCGAGCAATACTTCTAGTACGTTTCAAGCCACGTTGAGTCCATTTTAATGCATTACCGTACAGACAAGCTCATGGAGTTGGGGCTGAAACAAAGGCTAATCTGTTGTTATCGACGCTTTTATTGATTGTACCAGAAAGAATCTGCAATATTTCTTGTGAATTTCATTGCTTAAACCTCTACAGAGAAAAATCTGATTCAATGTTCAATTAACTTGCCATTGGCAAGAAATTATCCACCAAATCAGGAGCCAAGAGCGAGGTATATTCCATGAATAAAACAAGGGTGTAGTTAGTCAAGCCCTTTTACATATTTCGGCTCTATTATTTAATCCTTCTCGACCAGTCAGATTGGAGAGTCATTCACTAGTTTTCAAGCAACGTAATTTAATTTGACTAAATCATTTCATTTTCAAGCAACCGCGTTCTCCAAATCCAGTATTCCGATGGATTCAACAAGATGGGAACCATCAGGTGGGAGGTTGCGCTCTGTCTGCTGGCTGTTTTCACGCTTGTCTACTTCGCTCTATGGAAGGGCGTGAAAAGTAGCGGCAAGGTAAGGGTCGCAGATTCTGCGACACCAAATGATTCAAATGATGAAGATGCACTCGTATACGAATGTGAAGGGTATAATAAACCAGACTAACTTCCGAAAAACGCATACTAATTCGATGGTACTAAACAGCAATTTTTGAGCCAATAAGTTACCACATCGGATGTGTAACCAATCAGACAACAGTTAATGAATATAAGCGTGTAAAAACCACGTGTGTTTGGCAAATCCCATAAACCTCAATATATAAAAATTGACTTCAAAAGTTGCATTTATTTTTTTACGAAAACTATATGACTTCATTAAGACTGGGAAAGCAAGGGCTTCCTGTGATTACCACGTTTATGGTGTTTAATGTGAGAAGAGGGTTGGATTATGGTTTTGGATGTCCGGCGCGGTAGTGGACAGTGGGAAAGTGTCCACTAATTCTGGACATGAAGGAGTAGTTAGCTCTTTAGTTCTCACGCCAAGAGAAATCATTATTGGGAAAAATCGGTTCTGCTAAGATTGGTGACCAATGCGGCTTTTTGAATCGCAAATAAAACCAATGAAGACGATTTCTTTTAGGCCTTATGGGTAATGTTTGATGAAAGGACACGATCTACCGGTTCATCGGCGAAAAGTACACCGCCTATTAGCCATTTTGGGTAGATTCTTCGAGAAACCTAGGAGGATCACGTGCTATTATTCAACTTTATTCAGTTTTTGGTATCGTATCATCACCACACACCGCTTTTTGCGCAGGCCGTATGGATCACTGCGACCCTGCCGTACGTAATTCTGCTAATACTGCTCATTCGTGGTCTGACGCTGAAGGGTTCTCTGATGGGCATTCAGTACTACCTTCTTCCTGATTTTGGTCGGCTCAAGTCTATTGAGGTAAGCTATGTGCTTCTGCACCACGCGGAACTCATAATAGATGATCCACTAGCATAATCAATAATAATAATTATCGTTGCAACTTTCCCATTTTGGTGTCATTACATTAATACGTCATTAGCTCATTCTTATCCATTTTACTCTAGTTAGTCGTTAGCTCATATCCATCTGAAATAGACTAAGTAACGTCACTGCAATATAAATGGTATTAGAATTTTCGCGTAACTATCAATTCGTTACTTAAATGTTTTCTAATTTTTTTTAGCAAGAAAACTAGGCCTTAAAAACTGTCACTTTTGACCTCACAACATTGAGCTTTAGCTGCGGCTTTATTGCTATTATTTTCACATTGATGTTCAAGCAATTAGGACTTAAGACTTGAAAGTGCTTCCAGTTAAGATTTAGTGTCTGCATTGCGAAATGATATGACATATCTTGGCTTCAGGTGAGAGAAAATCCAAGCCACTTTTCTGAGAATTTATTTGTTTACAAAATTCCCTTTGAAATCCACTGAACTCCATTTACTAGGTCGTAAGTAAGTGGGTGATAAACAGGTGCGTAGGCTGGCACGTATGATCCTTCCTCGTGAATAGGCTTCACGGCTACTGAAGAAATCACTGTACATTATATTATTTTAGGTTTGGAATGCTGCAGCCTCGCAAATTTTCTTCTCTTTGGGTCCGGGATTCGGCGTCCTGCTTGCCCTAGCAAGTTACAACAAGTTCAGCAACAACTGCTACCGGTGAGTCAAGGCCAAATTAAAAACCAAGGTCAGTCTAGGTGGTGCAACATTCAGATTAGGTGGTGAAGATTTCGCGTACATTTTACGCGGACTTTCAAGTATGTTCGAGTCAAAGAACTGGCCTTCAAATTGGAACGCAGACAAATTGTGTTAAGGAATGGGGATAAATTGTCTTTGTCAACTAACAGTATTGATTTTCTAGGTTTGAAAGATTCTTCAAAATTGAAATTTTATTTCTATCTAAACTGTTGAGCTTTTTAGGCTGGGTGTTTTATACAACACAAACCTGTTACACGATTTACCTTAAAAATTACAAGGGATTTCATCTGTACTTCTTGTTAAACATAAAAAATAGTGTCTGGCGAGTTAAGATCAACTTAAGAGCCTCAAATATGATATGAAGCCTCTTCATTTTCACATTTGTCGAGATCAACGACGTGATTATATAAAATTGCTTTAGACAGATTAATTTGCTTAACTAACCAGCTCTTAGTTAAGCTGTCTGTTATTGTTTATGCAATTGTTTTAGAGACGCGATGATAACTAGTGCGATTAACTGTGGGACGAGTTTCCTGTCAGGCTTCGTGGTCTTTTCCGTGCTCGGTCATATGTGCTACCGAATGAACAAAACTATGGACACCGTGGCCAACGAAGGTACACTTACAGCGTCCGGTTTCTGCAATAGCAAATGTGTTCCAGATCTTCAAACCTGTGATGTAGCTCCTTATAACATATCCTTTCAAGTAGCCTGGTCGGAATTTTCTCCCATAATCGAGAAAGTCAGCAAGATTCTTGAATTCATTCAATTGCTACAAACAACTTTTTGCATGATTAGCTTGATTTGAGGCATCTCTTTTTTGAGGACGCAGTGTGTAAACCCTAATATTTAGAGATTTTGGCTCAATCGCTATTTAAATCAAACGTTTACCATCCAATTATATAAATGTTTCTATCAACGTTAGGGGATGATGTTAAGTTACAGCAAATGTGAAGCATTTCGCCTGTTACAAGGGTACACGTTTTAGCTTTAAACCAAATAAATCGTTTCTACTTCGTGAATTTTCAGGAATAGTTTGTGTGTCACAGAAAACAACATTGCAGCCTCCTTAGTCACGTTTGAGTATTTTCAGCGTTAGTTTAATTTTCGATGTTTACGCGCATATATGGCCATTAGGATTGAAATACCTAGGATGCAACACTAGGTTGTAATGTACTCCATTAGGGCTAGGTGCCATGAGAACTGGCAGCCTCATTGGAAACAGGGATCAAGATTGAGCAGTCCAAATTGAGTGAAAACAATGCAAGTGAGCTTAGAAAGTCGCTTTGATGGTAGAAGTGAATTTTTCTGCTCACTTTCTGCCTCATGGTTGAACCCATGTTGGAGAATCATGACAGTAGCTAGGTAGACTGATAATTTAACCTCTTGACTGTAACGATGGGATTAAGTGATTTTGCGTGCCTGTGAATGATCAGTATCTAAGGTAACTCATAGTATAGAACACAGGCAGCTAACTTCCCTAAAAACCACTCGTTTTGCATTATTTTTTTCCACAGGACCAAGTCTGGTGTTCATCGCCTACCCCGAGGCCATCGCTACTCTCCCTGGCTCAACATTCTGGGCGGTCATATTCATGCTCATGTTAATCACTCTAGGTCTCGATAGCACGGTGGGTCGCTATTTGAGTATTTAATTTGTATGCTAATGGTGGGATTATATATTTTTTAACTGTATCGTCTCTTGAAATACTAATTTGTGAGTAGTACTCGTCAAGGATATCCGTTGTCCACACAAAGTCAACAAAAGGAATCATTCTAAGCTTGTGTGTAAAATCAAATTGACGATGGTTTCTCCAACAAATAACACCAGTTTTACCGTAGAGGGCGTCACATGGTTAATGCCTCTCGCTCTTAAGGACCATGAAACATGCATGGGATTTGTATTCTCTCATAGTTGTTTCCTCTTTTAGTTTGGTGGTTTAGAAGCAATTATAACGGCTCTTTTGGATCGCTGGCCCAAGTTGCGTAAAAGACGAGAACTCGTGGTCTTGATCATGATTATCTACTGCTATATTGGAGCTTTACCCACAACAACAAATGTAAGACTCTAATCGTTTTTAACTCTGTCCAAATTTTCTGGAAACCACCAAAATTGAAGTTCAGATTTGGTAGTTTACGAAATTATTACACTTGCTCTCTCACATGTTAAATACTCTGGTTTTTCGTATCCATTGTATCAGGCGTTTGACACTAGACCTCTGTAAAAATTTTCTTTTATTTGGAATGTAATTTCATCAGGCAAGGTTCACAGAATTACCTTGAAGTCGTGTTTTCACTGGCCACTTTGTAAATTTGTTTGTTTATTTAACCATTATTTTTAAAGGGTGGCTACTATATCCTCACTCTCTTTGACACCTACGGCGCGCCATTCTCCATACTCTTCATAGTATTTTGCGAATGTGTCGCTTTGTGCTGGTGCTATGGTGAGTAGGCTTCCTTTATTCTTTGCCTGGAAAACAAAACTTTTGGATTGGATAGACAGGGTGGTTTTTGTGGTTTTTTTTTTCAACTTTAGGCGTGAGGCGATTTTCGAGGGATGTCGAAACAATGCTCGGCTTTCGACCAGGGTGGTTCTGGCAAATATGCTGGGCTGTCATAAGTCCAGCTTTTATGCTGGTACGATTCCTTCGGTCATCGAGATTAGTCTGTTTTGTTTGGCACCTTACCTAGCCTGCTCTTCAAATAGGGCATCTTCGTGCTGAATATTACATTCTTCCGACCCCCTGAAATAACGGTAATGGGCAGAACCGTGAAGGCCGATACCTGGGTCCATGTCTTATCCTGGATGTTGGTATTTTCCTCCCTTGTCACAATTCCGATATGCGCCGTGGTCACCTTCGTCAACGCAAAGGGCACCTTTAAGGAGGTAGGTCCACTGTCATAAGAAATGACATTTAACCTTTGCCATGATGAATGGAAAATGCTTGATTGGACCCATAACTTGCAGACCTTCATCTATGTCGCTACTTATAAAGTTACGAAGTAGGATTGATAAATCTTAAAGACGGTGAATTCGCACTATACGGTGGGACCAGTCTTTAGAGAAACAAAAATTTTTACAATCATTGCATGCATATGTGAAAAGTCGTCAAATGTGGCATTTGAAATACAGAGTTTGTATACAGACCAAATCCCAAACTACATGTTTCGAAAGCTCGCAATATTTTGTTTTATCTCCATTTTTAATGAAACAGCGTCTGAGGGCGCTTGTGACACCCGGTGTACGACCATCGTTCTCGGACTTCCACGTCCACCCAAACAGTGTTCAAAAGCGGGACCCCGAGGTGAAAGACGCGTGCGAGGCAGAGAACGGTGAAAGGGATACGCAGAGTTGTGGACCCTCGCCAGCGATTTAAGGAACCAACCCAGCTGAGGCACTGGATTGACGTAATCGCACAAACTTTTTCTCGCATTTTGTTCTGCAAGTTTTCGCTAACTCCCTGATTTCCGTACACTACACAGGACGTCACTGTTAACTGTATTCAACAGATGTCAATTTTCCGTGCATGCTTTCCTTTTCCAGGACTGATCTCAAATTATGCAACTGATGTAAGTATCTCTTTAGATAGAAAATATAAAATAAATTCTACAAAGATTTGAAATCAGCAAATAGCTGTTGCTCTAAACATCACACTGCTTACAACTTATCGGCTTTTCAAGCAAGAGTTCTCATGGTTGAAACTGAGAATTGCTTACAAAACAATAATAAAGAATGCGAGTTACAAGCATCACAGGACACATCACAGAATTGAATTCCTGAGCTGTTCATTGTTTTAATCCTGATTCTCACCGACAGCCACTTGCAATTCGCATTCTGGACGGCCAAAGCCCACATGATGCTAACGTGGGAAGAGTTTGCTCTGCTTATATTTGTTTTATCTGTTTACGGTACAATGTTTATTGTGTTTCCATTTGTTGCTTAGGCAAACACCTAGACGTTGGCGGACATTCAGGATTTTCTTTAGTATCTGGTTAAAATCGTGTTTGTGGATGATAGTTGCCCTCAAAGGTTCGTAGGCAGTTATCGTTTATTAAGCTATCTACCATTATGAATGACTTAAGGGATAAATTCAACCCTCCTATTTATCAGTGAAATTGCTTATTAAGTGTTAGTATTCACGGCTAAATGGTGCAATGTTAAGTCTCCCAAAAGTTAAAGACGGGTACGGTAAGAATGGCGTAAGATCATGGTATTTCTTGAAAGGTCGTTAGTTAAAATTTAGTTAAATCAGGCAAGTTAACTAAATTTTATGATTAAAAAACTTACTACTGATTTGTAACTCCTCTAAGGCGTTATGGATAGGTGTTAATTGCATTAGAAAACAGTCCAACATTCTATGCAGAAACAAGCCTTAAATTTACAGAAATTTTGAAAAAGAGCTAAGATGAAACTATTCGATGGAAAGAGCCATTTTTGACGATGATAAGCCAGCCTTAGCCAAGTTAAACAAGCAGATGTGGCCCTGTGACCAAGTTAAAGTATACCACCAAACAAATTTCTAGAAGAATTCTCAAAAAAGATTTTTAAGAAACTGTCGATTCCACTGGTGACATACCTATTAGCTCAGTGTGCAAGCAAGCAAGACGTCAATGCGAGGAACAAGCAGTAAACAGTAGTGATTTGAACTAACGTGATAGTTCATTTTTGCCTCACTATTCCTTTTGCAAAAAAGGCCATTGCATAGACAAATGCATAAAATTTTTAATCTTATAAGGTAAAGGAAAGTGGTCTGTGTTTCAGGGGTTTAAGTTTTCGGGGCTGTTTAAACGCCAATCATGTTGTTCAAGACCGTTACTTTCCACAGAGGACTCTCCTACATCCCTTTGATGGTGATCACAGCGCCAAACCAGAAGTGGCGAATAATCTTATCGCTAAATACATCTGATAAACCAGGACTTGTTTACTAAAAAGATGCAAAATCTGTCCCAGAGTCAAGACTCCACCAGTCAAGGACCTAAAAATCGTGCCTGCGAAGATTTGACGAGTTGTCCAAAGCAACAGTGTCTGAGATAATTGGACAAGGCTAAAGTAATTTCAAGGGCAGCTCTCAACACAAGTGTCAAAGACCTCAACAAACGCATGAAGGGATTCAGCCATTAAGGCCCAACAGATAAAGTTCTTAAACATTATCGCGAATAATCCACTAGGCAACTCACCAGGTAAACGAAACGATTATGAAATGGTAACGGCAGGATACTGTGGAAAGTAATTCAGAGAAGTAAACTCCATAAAGGCGGCAACATGCCGCAATAAAATCGCAAATTTTTACTAAAAATTTTGCAGTCTTTTCCAGAAAAGATAATGAATAAAAGTTAATCAGAGTTGAAAGCATTATGGTAAATATCTGGAATTACTGGACAGTTTTAAAGGTATTTTCGGAAAATGAGTACATTGAGGAAGTCTCAGAAAGGAAACCAAAAAATTACTGTTCTATTCACAAACTCCATTACTTGTGTCTGGAAAAAGACAAAAGTAATACCGATACCTTAATAGTCCCATATTTCAAGAGAACGGGTACAAGAAGTTAAGGAAAATGAATAGGTGGAAAAATCAGCCTTATCCGCTTCTATGTTTGCCATTGCCCCGACTTGAGGTGGGAATGTGACAAATTCGATGTAAACTTGTTTGATCCCTCAATATAATTCCAGATTCCATGGAATTCGCCTGACGCTAAAGTGAAAAGAGTTTCCTCCCACATATTAGATGTGATTATATGCTAAATGGTGTTTATTGATGCATCGTGTGCTGCTTTAGGCAACTTTATTTAATGTTCCGGATTGTCCTAATATTTCGTCAAGTGTTTTTGTTAGCACGGGTTTTTCAGGAATTTATAGGGATAGTTGTAATTTTTTTATGATTTTAATTGAAATCAGTTCGATAGCAGAACAATTTTGCTAATTTACTCCATAAACGCTATTTCAGTTAAAGTCCGCTTATAGTTACGAAACAGATAAAGACGGATTAGCGAATCAAATATTCGTTGTCGACACCAGGCAAAGACCAAATCGAGCTTGCGTCGTAGGGGTTTTTTAACAACAATATCTTGTGATCCATTTGGCAACACCTAAAAATTGTCATTGCAGTCAGCTACAGAGAACCCATTAGACTTCACGTCCTGTTGGTAAAAACCTAGTTTAGAACCAATTTCAGAAATACAGACTTTAGATATCATCAAATCTAAACTATCCATAGCAATATTAGAAAATGCAAATTTTGTTCATATCACCAGGATTATCAAAAGTATCTACAAAGTTTCTACGATCTCGGAAAAGTTCATTTTCGAATTATTTTGGTGTGATGCGTTAAAATTGAGAGTCCGTCTAAAAATTACCCATACGAACGTACCAAAGAGCACTGCTCTTAAGATTTTTCCCAGCCTAAAAAAATAAAAAATGGTATTTTAATTCTAGTAATTTAGACGTTCGCTTTAGTTTAAATAAATTTGTTATACTACCTGAGGAGTAAGCAGCTCTTGCTAGGGAAAGCTGATTGAAAAACAACATTTATTGTGGATAGTGATACCTAAGTGTGTTTATAAGAAAACATAAAAATCTTATTCTCTTTTTTAGTTAAACACTAAAACCTGTTATTTGTAAAATAATTTGTTTTATCTAACTAATTTGATTTGTCAGCGTTATCCTAAAAGTGTTTAGCCAATGTCATTTAGAGACCTTGCCGTTATTCACCAATAGGTTCGCGGAGGCTGCTTATCATTTACGAGGTTTCTACTTTTCGCGTCATGTGCGTCCGTGATCGATTTTATCGGTTGTGCTTTATTATTACAGTTGGAGTTTGTTTATACAAACTTTTATTCTCGCGAAGCACGTAATTTAATCAGCAATTTTTCATTATGTGCCTTCTCATATTCGTTAATCCTAGTTCTGTTTTGTTCATTTTGCTTTATCTGAAAACGTTAGTAACTTATTCGTATTCGCTTAAAAACTGAAAACTATAGGACTGATCTCATAATTTTTTAGCCTTTGGCACTTTTTTATGATGGAAGTTGGTTTTATTTTATTCTCACATGGGTAGTGGCGCTTCATTATAAGATATCCAGCATTTACTTCACCATAATTACCTCACTGGTGGTCATGTGTATTTAACGATAATATCTATGGTTTTTTGGTTGCCGAGCTCATCGGATAGGATCACTGTTGATAATTAAGCACATCATAAGTTGCGAATTCAAGACTGTTTTTATAAGCTTACTTGTTGGAGCTTTTGATTACTTAGTAGCCTTCCCAGTCTTAATCTATGCTGATCCATTTATTTATAATTAAATTATTCTTTTTTAGTCATGTGGTCGTTCATTTGTAGGTTATCATAATCACTTGAATAACTGTGTTATGAATTTTCTAAAGCTCGAGATGAGTAACTAACGCACGATTAATTGTGCTGCTCTCGTGCAAATTTTACATAATAATCGCTTGACTCAATTCATTTCATCCTGTTATTGTCATGCTAACTTACGACTTTTAAATGCACAAAGCTAATCATGCTTCCATTCATGCAATTTGTGAAACGCTTTCTTCGTGTGCTTAATAAGTTATGAACGGGAACTAGTTGTATTGCGACCATTTGGGATACTAAATATTAACTTATGGCGTCCATCATTTAAGTTTGGTGACTAGAACTTCTTTAAATTTTCTAAATTTATATGTTATTTGGTTGCTAGTCCTAATATTATGGCAGCTTTTCATAACTTTACCTACACCTAACTGTTTTTTGCGTTCTCTTGCATCCTTTGTTTTATATTGACTCAAGTAAGCTTATTCATTTTGGTTGAGAGGTGACCTAGCCACCAATATGACTTTTTATTTGCAATTACTGCATTTTTCGTCATACGTAACTGCCAGTAAACAAAACCTACATTCGCTTTTCCTTTTTATTTTACTTCCACTTGCTTAACGTCACTACTTATTTATTTAGGAAAGGAATTGCGTCATTATCGTAAGTTTTTTGGATTTCGTTTTTAACATTTTTGCATTTTTAGAAAAATTAACTTAAAGCTGGTCCAAGTGCAGGTGTTCTTCAGACATGGTGCGCGAACACCCTTGCACTATATCAAGTCAAGCCTCGCTGATGTAAGTGTGCATTTTGTAGAGCGTTCTAAGTGCCTTTTTAAGTGTGTCTGGACTCCTGACTCTACAAAAGATGCTCCCGAGACTGTGATTCCAATCGAACATGTTGACATCTTCGATCAAACGCCTGTTGATGAGGACACGGTTGACTTGACGTACAAACCCTACAAATTACCTGTAGGTCATTGTTGGTGCCTTACAAATACTCGGTTTCTCCCAGTAATTTTTTTGTTTTCGTTTGCATTCTTTGTGAATCTGCAAGAATGGTGAATGAATATTTGGTCGGCGGTTTTTTAAGAGCTATCATCCTTGACTTGGTCTTGTGTTCTTTTGTCTCCCAAACCGCCTAGCTATCTTGCTAGGTGCTACCGGTGTAGAACGTATAGAAATAGAAAAATCTACCGTATATTCCAAGTGTTTAGCTTCGTCGCTATCTAAATTGAATATACGGCACTTGCTGATCGGATTCTATGGTTTCAGGGTAGTGTGTGCCACAACGGTTAAACGCGCTTAATTACTGTTTTAATCTGCTTTGTCAAGATTCCTCCATGTTTGCTGGTTTGCTACTTGTGACTGGGTTTTTAAGCAGGGTTACTGTGTCGAAAAGGAACGGAGCTATTCTGTATTTCAAAACTTAGCACTAGAAATTTGGCGCTGTTGACTCAGGTATCCGTTTTTACGAAAGCTTGGTGTCCATTTATCTCGGAAATCAGACATACAGGAAAAAGGAACAACACGTTTATCATTTAATTAGGACTAGAGCACTCCAATAAACAAAGCACTCTGATAGTGGGTGTTGTTTGCCAAATCTGTAATCTAGGCTTGAATTCACACAGTGCTTCGCCTTCATAGACTACGCATATTAACAGCTGCAGATCATAAATTCTCTGAATAAACATTCGTAGTTCCAAATTCTGTTGTTGCCATTATGATTAAATCATGATTTTAAGTCGAGGGATCTTAAGGTACCACTTACTGCCTTTAGACGTAGGGGTGTTTTAGTATTGTGCGTAGCTGTGCATGCTAGTTGTGCAATGGAGCGTCTCGTCTTTTACATTCAAATGTGGATTGTATCTAAAACACCGACACATCTATCCGATTTTGGGTCACTTATGGGGAAGATTAATTTGCCCGATTTAGATTGTCAACGTGCATTCAAGCATTTTATTTTTAAATCCTTCGCATCATTCGCTCTTTTGGTCGTGCGTTTTTTGTGTTGCGTAAAATGTCTTATTGGATTAGGTAATTATAGAAGTCAGGCCAAGTAATGCTTTTATTTTGCAGGGTGGTGAGTCTATTGGAATGCTCACGACTGTCGGACAAAAGGAATTATATCAGCTGGGAATTCGCCTTCGGAAGGAGTATGCGGGAGCGGACAATCTGATCTCGGATCCCGTCAACCTAGCCGAAATACAGCAAGTGTTTTACTTTGCCTGAGTAGAAACTCGAAGCCGTTCACAACTGAATGTAGCTATTGATTTCCAATCGAATGGGTTTATTGACACCAACAGTGTTTTCTGTGTGTTTTCACTTTATGTGTTTGTTTTTCCCTACCTACTTCAGAGTGCGCTCCACCCGTGTGGGCAGAAACATTAAGTCCCTTCGCTCCTTGATCGCTGGCATGACTGAAGGCCACGTCGAAAGTAAGTTGGCCTGCAATTTTCAAATGAACTATTTTGGCGAGTGCACACGGTAATAGACGTGTTGATTTAAACTCAAGCCGTATTCCCATTGGTGAATATCAAACAGCATAGCACTGCCATATAGTTTACATCCAATGACAATTTCATTGGCTGTGGTTTTTTCCTTAAATCCTTCTCTTTGATTATGTGGCCGCGGACTTGGCGCCTCAGCCATTTGTGGCGGCAAAATGAAGCGTAAAGGGCCCTGCATAGGACTTTCACAAAGATTCCCACTCATTACACGTACTTCGTGTTATCGGCATCCCAAATTAGAAATATGGAATTCATCAACACTTTTGTTTCCCTGTTTTCAGAGCCACTAGTGATTCCTACAATGCGGTTTGAAGAGGACGTGCTATTTCCAAACACCCAAACTTGTCCTTGGTTGAAAAAAATGTTCATTGAGGGCACTGAGGAGTTAAAAACCTGCCCCGGTCTGAGTACCCTGAAGAAGAAGCTGAGGGAAGCGCTGCGTAAGTCAGTAATTGGCATTTCGTGCAACTTGTGTGGGGTTTTGTTGTTGGTCTGCTTTTTATCGGCTTTCGCCGTTTCTTTTTGTGGCACGATCGCAAATTTTGTATCTTTTACCCTAATGCCAACGCGACCATTCAGAAGTCAAAATGGAGTGTATTTTTTCACGTCATTCAACCGCAAGCTGCTCTTCTCCTTGTGTCTCTTATCCTACCCTAGAAATTACCTGACACCCTAAATTCGTACACCTTTTATTTATGCATTTGCGCTTAGTGAACACGCTTATTTCGAAGCCTTGAGGGCGTCATACTTTCCTCGGGAATTTTGCACTTTAGTTGGGCAAATGACGAGTCTCTCAGAGTTGGGACATCTTTAATTGTTTGCTTGTTGAAGATTCGATTTGGACTACACTAAAGTCTGATAACTCGGCATGATTTCATAATCTCCTCATTTTGACTAATCGTCAACGCGTTCAATTCCCTAGGGGTGGATCACCTTATCGATGAGCTGGAGGACGAGGAGGGTAAAGAATCGCGAGACTGCCAAGTCTACTACGTGAGGGATGACTATATCGCGCGAAAGGTGAGTTGCCAGCAGCTTTAGAGACAGGAGCAAAATTTAATTTTCGCAAGCGTTACAAGGAGGGCATTTAGAAGTCCTGCTGAAGCGTAATTCAGGGATACACTTTCCACGTGCATTTCTCCACGTTTTTCGAATCGCGCCTTTATCGAATGATCAGGGTTCTGGGACACCTTTACGACAATCACCTCGATTGGTTACAGCTGATTTGCTAACCGGGCAGCCTTAATTACACACCATCCGTATATTTTTTTAATTGTTTTACGCTACTCCACATAGGAAGATTTACTTTTACAAAAAGTGGACACGCCCACTAGGAGGCTATTTTTACGGTTTCGCGCCAGTAAGTGCGGTCGTCATTTTGACCATGATATCTGACTTGATCTGATGTATTATAATGGAGATATATAATTCACCTTTCTCCCGAAGTCACTCACCAGGTGTGGGGTGAGATGCCTCCACTGTCGTAAATCTGCAGATCAGGCAAGATGTTGGTCTTAGTAGTTGGAAATTAAGTGGCCTAACTCACCACAAAGGCCTAGGATTGGTTGATTAGAGACCGCTAGAGATACGAGCAAAAGTGTCGCAGATTGCCAATCACTAATGGCCCTTTTTCGTCCCTTAGAAGAATAGATGATGTGGCTGTACATGTGCTGTCTCCTTCACCAATTGGCCTTCACAAATGACCGTCATGGCCTCAATCGACTCCTCACTGCGTGTGCGTATTTCTATGGTAACACCAAATACGACGTCTAACTATAGAGTTAGAGCGAAGGGTTTTTGTCTATGCTATTTGTTAAAACACTGCGTGCATGGTTTTGCGACGGCGCTTGTGGCGTAAACACACTGCAAGCTGGAACTCATGCCAAATGAACTGGTTCCAGCTTCAAAGCATCATTCGGTTGAGCCTCGTGTAGACAAAGTTCATTGTCACGTAATTTGCAGGTGCAATTGCATCTGAGGTGCCAAGTCTACGTTCTAAACAAACAAACACGCGTAAAGGTTCGTTGGTCCATGGCAAACACTTCATTAGCACGCCCAAAAAAATTACCACAACCACGTGTTGTTAAAGTCTACCTCTACTGCGCGGAGACATCGACCCGTACTTGCAAATTTGGCTTCTGCTGGCATGAAAATCATGGCCAAAAGTGAGATCACGAAGCGCTCTTTGGCACCACCTTCCGTTGTCCATAGCGGTGTTGTTATTGTTGACGGCGCCTGTTACATTTTGCCGCAAGTTGTTGTTTTCGGCTGGCTGTAGTGGATTACTGTGCAAAATCCGTCGTCCGGAACTAAGTCATAGCTGTGTTTTTTTGTACACTTCGCTTGTGTTTCTGGTTAACGTTAGCAGGCGTTATCCTTTTTGACCTTTTGGTTGCAGCAGTTTCGCCAGGGCCGAGATCCACGCCCCGTATGTTCCAACCCTGCGTTCGTCTGCGGCGTCGAAGCCGCCCCCTTTGAGGTCATGTTCCGTCACACGTCAGGCATGAGTCACCTCTGTCCTAATATTTCTCAAGCGATTTCACATTTGTTAATGGCGGTGTAGTAATAACAAGCGAGGTTATGTGCTTCTCAAGAATGCAATCCGAAAATTGTGATCAATTTCGTTGACAGGGAAACTAGGCGGGTGTATGGAAGGTTCACGCACAGTTGGCGTGTCGCACCTGACATTTAGCACTCGTGTTTCGTTGCCAAACGGGTCTCACCGGGTGGGCTTGATCGTAGGTTCACACTTATGCAAATTAGATGACAATAACCATCAATACTGTCATAGGAATCACCCCCCTCCCCCTAATTATCATGCAGTGTTGCCGTCCGAATCAGTATGCGTGCTCCCAGTCCTGCTACTCATTGTTTAAACTAGCACAAAGCTTCCCTTACACTTACTAGAGGAAAGTCAAGTGAAGTACTGTAGTAAGGCACACGGGCTTGTCAGTAAATCGTGCATCGCCGCATGTGTGGCTGTTTTCATTCATTTTGCTTAACCTTTGTCTCGTGGGGTTGGAGTAACTTCGAATTACCTGAAAACAATGTCTTTGAAAAGCGCCAATAGATTTAACAATATGCGTCGGGAAGACGTCTGTTTGCGGTTGAAACTTGAGTGATTTTACCCACTGTTCTTACCTTTACTTTCTTATATAGTCTTGAAATGTAATATGTTCGTTGATGTCTTTTGTGAATTTGCATTTTTGTTTGTATACAAGTCCCCTCGCAATAATCTTATTCAAATCATTCTCAAATCCCCCACAGGCTCAAATCACGTTTCAAAATATTTTAAAGATGTGGTTTTATCCTTAATTCACAATATGAATTCCTTCTTCTAAATTTTAGTTAACCAGAACTGATTTTGAATTTAAACCAATTCACCGATTCTCAAAAATGCATTGGTCTGAAACCCCTGTTAATAGTCATAAATCCTTTTTTATCATTTGTAATTCAACCAGGACTTACGACCTCCTGATCCTAAGCTTTGTACTCTAGTATGGAACATCATTCAACGCATTGTAAACGCCCTAGCGCATACGAGCAAGTATGAGGCTCCGTATTTTGCTGGGGAAATCACGCGCAGTGAACGTGACAGCGCCCCGCCTGCCTGGGAAGCTGCCAGAGGTCGCGAGTCCTGGTTGGTTAGAAACGTCTGAATTGAATTGTGTGTGTACTAAAACAAATTCATGCACACCTTAGCAGCTAGATACGTCCAAGCATTGCTGTGCACATTCTCGTCGAGCCTGCCTCAATGTCCGTCTAAGCAGGGGTCTTGTTTTGTGTGTTTCGCCACAAGGTAACTACCTAAAATGCGTACAAGCTCACTTTCACACACACGTGTCTAGGATACGGGCGGTAGCACTCAAGGAAAGCGATTTAGCCGTTTATTCGGCGTCTCGTCGCGTTCGTGTGTGTGTGTGTGTGTATTTATAAAAACCCGGGGAGGTGGACAGCGTAAGTCATAGGTGTCTTAAAATTGGGGCTTACCGGGGCGTGTATTTAACTGGGTGTGAGCAAGCATGGGGGTGATTAAGTAAGACGGTTGTGAATACCTCGGATTCACCACAACCATAGAGGGCAGTTGTTTCGGCTCATTAACGTAAATAATCGTGTTATGGTTTTGCTTACCACTTCAAGTAACCTTTGGTGTTGCTATGCCGTAGTAAACCGTTGGAAAACAGACTGTTTGCCTGTGTTGCTGAGTTAAACGTATTTATCTCTTTTCACAGCAGACCACTGGGGAGAAAGTTGAAATATGTTACCAGAAAGACATCCATAGATATGTCTCAGGGGTTGTAGTTAGCGAAATGGCTACCCTGTCAGCCTAACTCGAATCAGTTCTTGACTGTTGCTACGCGACTAGAGACTGATTAGGGATGTGTTGGTCGTGATTAGAGCTTCTGCTGTCTTGCGTCGTGTTTGACTTGAAGATTTGGTTGTAGCATAGTTCTGTAAATATGGACAAAAGTATCTGATCCTCCATGTGAGGTAAAGCGTCAGGTTTCTTATGCGTGCAAGTTTGGTTGATTTGTACGCGAATATCGAGGATTTGCAGATCATGTGAACACGCGTTGCGTCAAGGCAATTTAACACAATCCACGCTATGTGACCCGATAATAATATTAATATTCGTTAAGTTGCAGACTCGACAGACCTGTGCACGGTTGACCTCAGTGATCTTGATGTCGTTTCTCTTTTTCAGCATAATAACTTCCCTCTGCCACCTACGCTGAGTGCTCTTGACCCTGAAGTCGATCATTTCTCAGCAGTAGAGTTGCTCAGTGAATTGTTGGGAGCGCGACGGTAAGTCTCTGACACTGCTTTTTTTTGTGAAATACCATGCAGTTCTCCTCTGTTGTCTATCGTTGGGTAAAAATAGGTTGATTATCTACCCTCCGTGCTTCAGGTCCATCGATCTGCCACAATAATTTGCTTGGCCTTTTCGACAATCTGATTCTGTTGTTCACGAGTGTTTGGTGTTTGGTAGCTTTGTGTAGTGAGTGCTCTGGGAGCCAAGGCATATTTTAATAAATACGGTCTCCAAGTTTCATCCTTTCCCAATAATAACTTGCTTTTCTGAATCTATCGACAATCGCTGTCGTTATTTATTGTCCCCATTATGAGGCAGAGCAGTTAGAACGTCTTGCTTAGTCGCTTTCAGCCTGTCAAAGCACAACTATTGTCACGCGTGTGAAAATCGCTATTTGTATTTTGCGGTCATTGTGTCATGTACGTGCTCAGTGAAATTTCACGCGTCCTTAAAGATTTTGTGACGTTTGATGTGGAACCATGCATTAGTAGAACACTGCGGCCACACCACCTTGGAGACTTGAGCATTCCAGCGGATTTATTGCTAATTCCAGAAGCGTTCTGTGGAGGTGTCATTCTCGACACCAAGTCCAGCGACCACGACCTTGCCATTCTTTGATGAATTTTTAAAGCGTGTGCCTGCATCGGTTAAATTCCGTAATAACGCTGATGCCACATTCATGTTACTCGTCAAAGTCGCCTGTCAGTGGCGTTTGTGCATTTTTGCTATTATTAGTGAGTTGGCACACTGGGGTTCTTTCACTGGCTTCATGTGATTCAAAGCCTCAAGCAGATAGTCTTTTAAAAATCGCTTGCTTCCGCAAAACCATATTCCATATTCCTGCACTGCACTGCGGTGTCTATTGCGAGTTTTCGATCCTTCGTTCTTCGACCTGGTCCTCACTGTGTGCCGTCGGCAAAACCGAACGATTATTAAAACTAGCAATAGGGTTTGCTCATCTACTTGGCTTCATTACTCTCTTCTGTTTAGTAATTGGACTGCTAATCTCGACGTCAATATTGGACCGGTTCTTCATATCATACTCTCGAAGATACGCGCATATGCCGAGTAAGTTACTGCCTTTATTACTCATTATTTCCTTTTTAAATATATCTATAACTGGGCACGTCTTTCGTATTTCCCTGACTGTTTTGTAACAAAACCTTTATCGTCGTTTCGCAATTTATAAACGGGAGACTAATCATATAGTTCAAAGTCCCGACTTCTTGCATTGCTGAACTCCTCTCCTAACAGCCTCAAACATTGGGCACACAAATCCTTATCGATGCATTCATTTATTTTGGGATTAAATAGGTACTATTTTCCATTTATGCCAAACATCATTTTTCAGTATCCCACCGCTACAACTGATGGCTGTCCACGATTCAACGCTCCTTCCTTTACTCTGCGCCCTGGACTGTTGTGATGAAATCTGGCCGCCTTTTGGCGCGGACATCATCTTTGAGATCTACTCGCAGACATCCGGATCGAGTGTCTCAGAATTCCTAGGTCCCGTTAAGGACACCAACTTTACCTCCAACGACAACATCGACTCCAAAATTGACTGGACCACTGACATACTGGATAACCTGTGGGTTCGTGTGCGATACCTCGGCAAGGGTCAACCTCTGGCGTCGCTGTGGAACCTGCCAGAAAGTGTACATCGCATGACTGGCTCCAATGAATTCATTCCTCTTCGTTACGTTGTGCAGAAATTGACGCCGTTCGCGCTGTCCTTGACGGATTATCGAATTAAGTGTCAAAGTTTGATGGACGATGCTGAGCCGGCTGGAAAAATTCACGGTGCCAAAAACTTGTAGCAACACAAATAGGATTCTGTATCCTCCATAAACCTTTATGGTCTTTGTGTGATACTTTTTAACCTTGGTTGTTATTCTTAGACATAAACGCGCTTTCCGTCGTTTTTAGCTTTGGTGAATATCGGTTTGAAAGGCGCCCATTCGATGCTACAGACACAGGTGGTGGTTGTAAGCACATACTTAGTTACTGGAGAAAAAGGCGAGAAAAAGTTCAGACGTGGTGACTGGTGATGGGAGGAATTTTTTAGTGATTGACAATCATATGGACAGAGATTTGGGGCCAAAAGGGATTCTAGAAGTCATGCTTTGATCCGTATGTAATTTCCCTGGTGGTATTCATCGGGTGCATACAGGTACAAGCGTAGCAAAAAACCAGACTTTCATTAACCGAATGTCTTGGAGATTTTAAGAGGGTATTCTGATGTCAATCGTCTGTGTGTGTTGATATCTGAGCTACAATATGTGTTCCTGTGTGTTTGTGGTATGTGCTGTTGATAATGCTACCATAGTGAGGCATTAAAAAGTTTTTTTGAGAAAGTTGCTCTAGCATAATGGATGGATTTGTTCGCAAACAATTTTGACCCCAAAACTCAAACTCCATCCTTGGCACAAAGTCAGTGGTTAAAAACGTGATGGCTATTGTGTGAAATAAAATTATTTTTGCTATATTCTGCCTGGCACAGCGTAAGTTTATTCATCCTAGCGTCTCAAAATGCCCATCACGGATGTAAAGTTGATTAATGCATAGTGCAGCAAAAATAAATATATTGGTGAGAGGTACAACCATTGTTTTTAATAACCGATGGTGTGCAGTGTCTATCGATCATAATACTTACCACTGTTAACTAATCACAGACAGCAAATCGCGATGGGAAACAAAGGGGCTACCTATACCTTTGATGGGTTCAATTTAAATTAACTATTAAGAAATTAACGGAAATCAGCAGCATTGGTAAAATTTAAACCACGTATAAATGTCCATTTAACTCTTTAGTTTCAAATAAAATTTATCGATATGTTGTGTTGACCTCCATACTCTCTAATGTTTGAGCAAAATCCCCTGTCCGACATGTGTTTTTGTTCTTTATACATTTTAACATGTCGCTTCACAAGTTTTACTGGACAGTTTGAATACAAATTTAATGCATCCATTGGCTTAGTCCATCAATTCATTGGTTCATTAAGGAGACTTGTAAAGCCGCTGTAGCTAAATACCAGAAGTATAAGAAGCTTAACAATTTTCCCAACATATCATGCCTATGTTTCTGCGTAGCCTGGAATTTATTACGGATCAAAAAAGAACTCTAATACACAAATCTGTACATTTTAAATATTTATAAGTGTTAGAGAACTCAACTAGGAAGCAAATGGCTTGCTTAAGCAATCATGTCAATTAACAAGCAGAAAAACTGTACAATACAGTACATTAAAAATAGGAACGCCTTGGGTTTTTTGTTTAAATGGCACACGAGGTTCATTGCATTTCATTCTTTAAATATTTTTTAAATTAAACTTGGATTGGCAATTTGTGTAACATTGATAAGCAATTTAAAACTGAGCCCCACGTTAAATATAAAAAAATCACCTACATGATTTAAAGCACCGATATACTTAGCCAAATTTATCAAAGATGTCTGAACGCTTCTGATTGTAAACCTTTAACGTATTGTGGAGAAAACATATATTCATAGCACACGTCCCTCATGCTACCTGAAAATTAAATTAATTACACATTTGCCTGTATATTGGCAGTTGTAGCGAAATTCAATTTGAGTAGTTCGGGATACTGAAAAGCGATGGCAGGAAATTGTGCTTTTCAGAAATCGAGATGTCTAAATAGGCGTCAAAATATTGACTTGTATTCTTTCTTTACTGTTAGCACTGATATTCAAAACAGTTAACAGAATAAAAGATCAAAATCGCATTATTCAGTGAATGAATAAATACTTGAATTCTTTCATTCTAGTATGTCTTACATCTGTTGGTAAATATATTTTTTACATAAGCTAGGGACAACAAAGTAAAAATTATTGGTCGCCAATAGTGGTTGGTGAAAGTAGACCTTAATTGTATACTTTATATACATATACCTTTAACATTACACTGAATCCAACACAAGAATCCCATGATATTGCCAGTAAATGCATTTTTTTGCAAATTACACACAATAACGTCTATCTATAAATCGTAAAATGGTGGAAGGCGTCAATGAAAATTTTGGCATTTTCCCTGTTTGAATTAATTAAAACTAATATGTACCATATGTGGTGCACTCGCGTGCGCGCCATTTGAGGTTGTTGGGTTTCGGCTTTCCTTAATTCAACCAGCCTATAAGTATTATTCCATAAAACAACTGAGTTCTCCCCCTCATCCCGTAGGTCTACTACTCATGTTTAATCTGTGTCTTAAGAACCCTTTAGCGCTTCTCTCATTTCTTAATTAATCGGTCAAAATTCTGGACACAGGTGGACGGCTCGCCAGTAGTAACACAGACTCGGCGAGCGGAGAAAGCTCTTGGTTTAGTAAACCTTCTGTGAATCAGCCACATTTGGGTTTTGAAAACGCGCAGGTATGGCAGCCACCAACTATCGCTTGTTACCAACCGGTTACGGGCCTAGAAGCCATTCGTAGAGAAGTCCTTTCGTAGGTTTCTCGTCTTACTTACTTTTTCCTAGTATTCTTAACAAGGCCACTGCGGAGACATTCATCAGTTTATCTAAAAGTATCCTTGCCATCTCTATCGATTCTCCAGATGCCCTCGATGTCATCGTTCAGCTGGTATACATTTTCGTCGTTTCTTTGTTAACAACTTCAGATTTTTCAAAAGGCCTCCAATGAGCCGAACTTCACCTACATTTATTCACAGCTTTGCGTTGTGCTTTTTGAAAAGGCGCGCAACTTCGAAACCGAAAACCAAAATTCTGTATGCTTTGCAACAAAAATCTCTATTTCCTTTTAGACATTTAAGCTTCTTCTGCTCAAGCGTTGCGAAAACGAATTTCTTAAACGTAAAACTATTGACTTTACCAATCCCGTTGCTCGCCAGCGATTCATTGGTGCTACCCGCTTCATTGCTTACCTCGGTTGTTACCATGGAATTCCGGAAAAAATCCTCCACGAATGTGTCAAATCTTTTCTCTCAAGTAAGCAAAAAGGCAAACCGTCTAACACCGTGTCGACCTCGAATGCACAAATGGAGCCAACTCTCAGTTCGGGTAGGCTTCCTTGGATATTGAATCCGGGCACGGCCTTTTTTCCTTGATTTTGAAATGGATCCTTTTCCCTTAAAAGGATATCCGAAAGAAGACGAGTCGGTTGCCCTTGACATGGAGTGTTTCTGTGAGTTCCTGAAGATTGCAGGTCCGCATATGGACACAGATAAGGCCCGCAATTTGATGGATCAGTACTTTGACCGGGTGGCGAAAATCCTGGAACGTGCCTCTCCAGAATACTTACGGCAATATGGACCAGGCAGTGGGAAGTTTATTCCACTCAGCACCCGAGTTCGGTTTATGATACGGGACGTCATTGAGCTTCGCCAAAACCATTGGACTCCGCTGTTTGAAGGCCAACTTTCTGATCGAGACAAACCATGGCTTCTGTCTGATTTACGAAAGGAGATTGATATGGTTAGTTAAATGTTCTGATGGAAATCATGACCACCGATGAGACTTCATAGCGGATCAGAGTAATGTTTTCTTCTTAACCGATCAGTGAAGTTAATTACTTGTTCTGTTAATGAAGGTGATAATGTGCATTTTTTGTTGACAGACATCAAGTGGGGAGCTCTCGCTAAGCAGGGCGTCACCGGGACCTCATGACCTTCGAAACACATGTCACAAAGGCACGGAAAGTTTGGAGCGTGAAAGTGATTGGATGAAATTAAACCGAATGGGGAAGGCTTTGTGTTCACGTGGTAAAGACGTCGATTTGTTTTCAAATGGCGAATCATCGGCATCAGTGGCCACGTCCCACCGCAGTCGTGATGGCGGCTACAACAGTAGTCACTCCCACAACTTGAGCTATGTACGTCGTCAGACACCACCGTCAGCACAGGATGTCTCCAGCAGAAGTGTGTACCGGGAATTCGATGCCGGTAGTAATGGAAGCAGTGGGAGCAACGGTAGCAATTGCCTCTGGGTTCGTCGGGCTGTTTCACGTCCTGACCACCGTCCGTATCACCCTCATCGCAGTCTTGTAGCAAATGAATCGTACTCTCAGCCAAAAGCCGCTATTTCTAACGGGCCAAACAGCGCAGTCTTTTTTGAGGTGTGTTTTACACGCAAGATGTCTCGTTTTTGGTATCTATTGGCACGGAATCATTCACATATGTGCAGCCGCTATTTCTAGCCTTCACAATAAGCTGTTTTCGCTGACTTGGAGGGTAATTTCTTCAAGTAGTTATTCAAAGCGCTCACGTTTTCGCTCTTGTTATACTCAATGGCTTACATATATGCAGTCGAAGTTTCTCTGTTCAAACTCTTCAGCTTGCACTCAAGTTGCCTCGTGCTTTCAGCTCATGCACGTGAACACTAATTGACGCAATGTTATCATAAGTTATTCTGTGTGGTGTGATCATCCTCGCCTCTAAAGTGTGTCATAAGAACTAATTCATTGTTTACCTATCATGTTCAATCTTGTCTTTGTTGTGTAGCTGACTGTTTGCCATGCTTACCAGTTTTTACTTGATAGGGCCACACCTGAGCGTGCTCTACCATAATCTTAGTTGTAAAATTAACCCAAATGTTCTGAGATTTGTTTCTCGCCCTTGGTTTGTACAGTCGTGTTGCAAGTGTGGATCCACGTCTGGCTGTCGTTACTCTCATCCCCTTACTAGCCACTTCGATGCGCGTTTATTCGCTGACATGCACTTGCGAATCCTGAGACTCGATGAATCCTGTCCCTTTTCCAGGCAATTTTGGCCATGGGTCCTTCGTGTTTGCAGTGTGGAATTCATAGGAAGCCTAAATACAACATTACTGCCTTTAGCCCGAATACTTGCATTCACAACACAAGTCTCAATGCTATCGCGCCTCTTCGTGTGCATCTTCAACGGCTGTCACACCGGCGACCATTAGCCCCGACCTGGACGCCATGGCAGCAGGCCGCTTTGATGCCAAACAGTTGACCAGCTCAGCTGTGCCAAGCTGGCGACCAACGTCGGTGAAGCCCCCACCACCGCTTTCGCGCCAATACCCGCATCATCATCACAACAATCCACCGTCTGTGATCACATACGCAGAAAAGCAAGCACCCCTGGATGAAAACAAGGAGGCTGCCAAGGCGGTGGTAAGTAATGCATTGGCACAATTCCGGCTGTGCTCCTTTTCATGTATTCTTAATAGGGATGTGCAGTAAAGACTTGGTCCTAGAGAGAAACAAGAGGCTGTTGGCGAGAGGCTCAACTGCTTATTTGATCAGTGTACACGAGTGTTGTCGTGTTCGTTGAGACGTGTCTGCAAGGCCATGTATACTTATTGTTTTAGACGTACACAGGGGATCGGACTGGTAGGTGTTGTCAACCAATGTGCACACGTGTAAATATCTGAGTGACAAGATGCGTATTAAGTGAGGCATGAGGCTCGTAGGCAGGGTGCCAGATCAACGTTCAGAAGGGTTGAAGGGCAAATGCGTCGAGAAATGGTGGAACTGAGTTAACACAATTCACGACAGTTTTCATTTTTCTTTAGCAGGTAAACTGAAAGGCCGACAGTTTGGCTGAGGTCAACACGCAGCTGTGAATAAAAGTTGTGTTAAAAATGTAGCCCCAAGTGGGGCCAAAGTCAAATAACTGACGTCTAAACGTTAAAATTGAGGACGCAGGCAAATGCGCATTTCTGCCTGGTCGTCGTGTGATCTTTACAGCTTTCTTGCCATCGGTTAGAATGGCAGTTGGCCTCGGATGTTACCTGTTGTACACCTCAGGGTTCAAGAAAGCCGGTCGACAGATTCAGCATCGTCCTTCCCTTAAAGATCAATGATTTAGGCCTTTTTTCTGATGGCTCTAAAAGGTCATTTCCTCCCCTAAACGATTGACTTAGTTGCATGATTGGGACAGGTGGTTGTTTGAAGAGGAACAACCTGAGTCTTCCTCCACGGCTGATCGAATTCCGTCCAACGAGCTTTGTCACCGTGAAGTGCAAAACGGTTTTCAGACAACAGTGAAAACGTTTTAACGTGTCATTTCATTGATGGTGGTCGCGTACCTCTCGAATGCGCTTCGTTTTCCATGTATTGTGGAAGCTTTTCGACCAGACTTGACGGTGGAGCGTACTCCAAAGACGTCAGTCCGTCTATCAGAAGGTTTTTTTCACTGCCGTTTCGGCGAAAATGTCTCATATGCAAAGCGTCCTGTCATCAGGGTGAAAAAAGCAACACAATTTGGAGTACAGCAAGGTTCCCTCTGTACAAATGTGCTCAGATCGCATTGCGTTGCGTTGTCTTTCTTTTTTACACTGTCACACGTTCGAATCCTAGGAAGGGTGAACTATTTGGATTTCAAGTTTAAGTGAATGTTCATTAAAGCCCTTTTAAAAAAATGTGGGATAGTTCAAGAGTGTTGTCGTGCCTTTGGATTCTTGGTTTTGACGTGCTATCTGTTCGATTTCTCGAAACCAGGTCTGCTTTAATAACTTTTCGACTCTAAAACCTACCTCCCTCGGAATCTTCTAGATGTCTATTCTTTCTCAAACCACGAATACGCAACAAGCAGTTGGTCAACTCAGAGAAAAGGGCCTCATTCCTCGACTCAACAAGGAAGCTATTTTGAAGATTGTTCTTCTCTTTTGTGATGGTGAGTTCTCGTAGTTAGCCCCTCATCAATTTGACTTTCATGGTCACTAACGCCGTCTATTTAGGCAACTCAACTGGATTCTCCCTGGACAGGAAATCTAAGCACAAGGCCTGTCAGTTGGTGTCCGTCTTTTCTCTGGCCAACTCCATCGAAGGCCAGCTGATGACATCGGCCATTCACGCCGCCTGGCCACGCGTATTGCAGTCGTTAAGTTCCACCTCACCGAAGACCTCGCTGGCTTTCCTTGCGGCCCGCCTGGCCTTGGCCGAGCTGCTGTCCCTGGAGAAACTAGCCGAGCCCCTGTCGGCGGGGCGCCACCATCCGCTTTTCTTGCTTGTTCTTCAGCAACTCGCGCAAATGGCCAATTCGAACCTACGACCAGGCGGGTTCTTAACACTCGACGACAGCCTCGACGATGGCGACTACATCCCGGAGGGCGTTGTTTTCGGAGAGGATAAAGAAGAACGCCGAGACCAGTTGATCGCGCTTTTCGCTGCTAGCGGAGTTGTGTTAGAGAAGATGCTCCCGGGTATGTTGTCAGTGCGACTCATGTGAACTTACCCCACGAAATATCCTCTTCTTTTAATGGACGCCTGCAACTTCGCTTTCTTTGTCTTACTCTAGAGGGCAACCAGGCGCCCAGTCGTGTGATGGCTCTACTGCAAGAGCGGGGGATCGAGTTTTTCTTCCCCTCTCTTTGTCTGGCCGCGGAAACGCTCTGCCCACTGCTCACTGCCGGCGATCTCTCCGAGTTTGCTTCCCACCTTGGGGAACTTAGTGACTTCGGGCCCGACGTGGTTCACAGTCTGATGTCTGCGGCCTTCGAACGCGTCCGTCTGGCTGGTTCTCCAGCCGGTGACTCGGACGATGATGCTATGGATCTCGAGGAGGCAGTTTGGAAAGCGATGGTCACGGACGGTCAATTGAAGCTCTGTGTGCCCCCGGAAAGGCAGATGGATGTTTTGCACGCGCTGCAAGTGTTTTGGCACGACAGGGGCATGCCCAAAGGTCGGTTGATTTTCCATCGGGATTTACACGTAACACGTTCTGTACTGAGTGTTTCCGCGAGAGGGGATATTTCTTCCAGCTCCTAAATTGCTCTTTGTTAACATCGCTCCTCTGAGGCTACTCTTTACCACCTTTGATGCTCTTTTCTCGAATGCACAAACGTAGCTCGAGGTAGAGTTTAAATAGGCTGTTGTCTCTTCAGCCATTGTGTAATTCACATACGTAAAGTACTGGGTCGAATTGTGTCCTTATTACTGTTTATTGAACCGTGTGGCTTCACTGTGTGTGTGTGTGTTCGCGCGTGTGCCCCGTAATACCCCAAAACTAGGCAAAAATTATTTTTATCTTCTGAACAATCATTTACTACTATTTCGAATATTTGTATGCTGTGCCCTGCTGTTACAACTGTCGATGTGGTTCTTTTGCATCCGCAACGACCCCCTCTCGTGCTAAAGTACACACATTAAGTCATAAACACTATATTTGTCCGTCTTTATGGTCTCCCGAACAGCACTTAAACATTTGTAGTGTTCAATCAGTCTAGTGCGTGAAAGCTCACCAGCACACAGCAGCATTGGAAGGCCTAAGGCTGTAGTAACGATAACGTTTTCATAATGAGAAACCCCTTATTGAAACTTCGAGGTCCTATGCATGGCATGGTTCTTGAAGCAGAACGACGTGATTTCTGTTGTTAGGAACTGTTTTCGTTATGCTCACCAACGGACAGTCATTCTATCATCAAGTTCTTTTTAATTACCGACTTTTCTGAGTGGTGTCGATATTGGTTCATGTGAGCGACCACTGCTCGCAAGCTTGAAGTGTTCGGTTATGGAGTAAAATTTGGACCTTTGATACATTACAACGCTCTTAAATAAAGCTGTTTGAAAACTTAGGTGCTATCCGCATTCCCTGAGACCTAATCTCTGCCTGTTTTAGACCCAAAACTATGTTTTTAAAAGCTCGTGGTTCCTTTTTTGAGAAAAATGCGGAACTCGCATTTTTAGCCAAGTCCCGTCGTCTTCGTGTCGGTTTGAATCCTGTGCAGTTGTTAGAATTTGCGTCATTATTGTTGAGCGCTCAAATATTCAGTTAACATGGGACCTTAAGCCTTAGTAAAATTAACTACAACTAGCCTTGACTGTGCGCAGTGTTAATGAGGTGCTCTTTAACCCCACAGGCTTTGTGCTGCGGTGTTTCCGGAATCTCTACGACTTCGATTTGGTGGAGAAAGCGACTTTCTTTGCATGGCAGGAGGAGGTTGACCAAAACTACCCAGCGAAAGGCCAAGTCTTATTCGAGGTCAGTTGCTTCGTTGCAGCAGTTTTAATCGATTTTTTGAAGTTCCGTCAGGTTTTCGAATGCCCTTCTTAGTTGAGTCTGTTCCCCCAGGGTCATTTGACTCGATTAAGCGGTCCTTTTTGTACAGACCACAGTTGCCTTAGGATCGCAAATCCTTCAAACCAATTATCTATTTCTACTTGATGCCTCTTTGTAATTTGCGCGTTTTACCTTCTTTTAACGTCAGCTCGAATGGCTTGTGCCCTTTTAAGCTTTCTTTCGGTGAGCTAAAATTGCCTGAACTCTCAGGTACTCGAAGTCAGTTTTTTTTCTCAAACACTGGGACATTTTTTGTCGACGACTCTGCCTTGGGATACTTTCAACACTGAAGAACTAAACTGTCTAGAACGGCAGCGAGAATGCGTGAAATACTTGCTCTTAAATTCGCTACTTTGGGAAGATGAGTTGGGCGATTAATTGAGTAATTTTTTTCCAAAAAAAGGGTTACATAAACGCCGCTTCGAGTCGTGTGCAGTAGCGGCAACCCCAATCCGGCGGTGTCTTTTGACTAGATTTTGTATTTGTTGCGGTGGTTTGCCTTGTCATTGCTAGGTGACCAATATTGCTGCTATCGGCCATAAGATACTACTTTTATTACCGGCACATTTTTGGATAGAACAGAATCACGCCAAGTTTTGTTGGTTCAATTTCCTTCCTATTGTAACCTGGTGAGAAATCCGATATTGCCGGAGGCTCTGCTTTTGTCAGCATACTTTGATAGCAACAGAGGGGCCACCTCCATTGTAATTGTCTACTTCTAGACACTTTGAGTGTGTGCTGCCTCACTGTTTTGCCTTATCCACCAACCAGGTGATGCGGTGGCTTACATGGCTTGAGACTGCAGAACTGGAGGTAACATCGGACGACGCCGGTGATGCTCCTGACGCTTGAGGAATATCTTTACGAACGAGCAACGATAAAACCCCCTTCTTTAATATAACACTTTCTCCTTTCACAACTCTCGCTCTCTCTCTCTCTCTCTCACCCATTTGTTTTTGAAGTCGGTAGTAAAGCGTGAGCACTAGTTCGTTTTTTTCCCTTTCAACCGAGGGGTACTGAGCGTTCGGAAAGGTTTGTTTCATCCGTAATTGCTAGTGTCATCTCCAAAATGTCTTTGAATCAGAATTGCCTCGCCTTGGTTTGGTACTCCGAATATTATAGGGTATTCGAGTATGGTGACTTCACGCTGACGCGAGCGCTAACCGCGCCCCTGTGTCGTGCACGTGATTTGCTGTCGTAAATCTTCATTACACAATGCAATAAGTGGTAGGGCAATTAGGGTGGCAAAAACACCACCTTCGACAACACTTAGGAAGTAGCTGTGCGGAAGCTCATTGTGTGTTCAACCCATTTACACTGTTGGCCTTCCCAGGCCCCACTTCACTGTAATTTGCATAACTAGCGAAGGCATTATCATTCGGTCATTCTGCCATAGTTGTCAGCTGAGACCAAATTTTTCCCGTTTCCGGGTTTCAAATTGCCTCCTTCACATTCTCTCAAGTACAAAACATGCATCTGCCCCCACCATTGAAAGCAGCAACCTGTCACCATTTGGGGCCATTTTTTAAAACTAACCACTTTTTGTGTATCGTCTGCGACTGAGGGGAACCGCGTGAACTTGGGTAATTTTTTTACCAAGGCGCTTGGAGGAAATTTTCGCAATCCCTTAAATCGCCAAATTTCAGCCATAGAGACTTTAGATGTAATTAGCTTCTGTTAGGCCTACGTCTTTCCTAATGATAAGTCTGGGTTTGGAGAGAAATTCCTTTGGTTGCATACTATTCGTATTTCAGTTTAACAACTGTGGTCACATGTGCAGATCTACTAGTTTCAACAAAAATTTTACGGAATTAATGAGGTAAAGGTGTCGAACATATATACAAATATTAAAAGCGTGTCTGAGTGTCGGATTCTAAAATTCTTTGAAGTAACCTTGCACTAACAGGCTTGTCGGTCACCTTAACCTAACTTGCTTGATCGTTTGGTAAATAGTATCAGATTAAACTCTGCTGTTGCTATCGGTATCGATTCTTTAAAAATTAGCTCTAGCCAATAGGGATGTAGCTCTGCTGTACTATTCACCGCGGTTACTTAGGCTACAGGTCACTTAGGTCAAGAAATATTGTCTCGTTCTCTTTTGATTTTTCACCAATAAGATGTCATATATTTTATTAATTCCAGTTCTTTATTGCTACTAGTTCATTCTAGGTGATATTATTACAATTATGGTGAACGATTTCCTTTCATCAACTAAAACAATGAGATTAAAATTGGGCCACTGTTTGTGAGTTGTTCGAGGTAGTGTCAATGGTAATCTTGTTCAATAAATAAATGTTTCCAACTTTTTTTTAATGGATAAAAAGCAGATGGAATTTATCTTGTATCGCACAGTCAGAATTGAACGACTCAATAAGGGGTTAAAGGCAATTTGAATAATTTTTGATAACCAAAAAAAAACTAAAGAACTGGTTAATCACAAAACTAGCGACGAAAGCTTCCACGCAATGTCGCGACCAACTCTTAGACGTTATGCTCAATTCCTGGATTGTTTCTTAATATCCCTTATCCCACAGCCGTCTTCAGAAGTTTAATCACCCTAGCATTATCCTTAATTAGTGGACTAAACACTATTGGTTTGATGTTGCCAAAATTTTGCATGGTAGACGCTTGCTTTACCTGCGCCTTGATCGACATCACTGTCTCGTTGAGGCGAGTTCAAACTTTTTTTTGCCATAAGAGAACTAATTTGACATCAAAGAGAAATGTATAAGCAAACCACTGCAAAAATTTTGCTTCGTCTGTTTCACTGTGACAAAGGAACCCTACAAACTCCTCAAATTGCCGCTCGTTCTTCTGTGAGGAGAGGTATACCAAAGTGCGCCTAGGCAGAGGCAGTAATTATCGCCCAAACTCCTAGAAGGTAGGGCAGAGTGCAAAAAAGCATTCTCTTCCTTGCTTCCACAAATTATGATTAACGCTTGGAAATAATATACTTTTAGAAAGCTACTAAACAAACCAGAAAAAAATTCGCCTAAGAGGAGGGAGTGTACAGTAAATGGACATTTGCATTTGCACTACATACACTGCACGCCACACTGCATCATTTTCCTTCCAAGAACAGTTTTTTTCCTGTCTTTTTTTAAACCGAGACAAGCAAATTTACAAGATATTCTCTCCATCTCAAGGCGAACATAATAGTACAATGATGCGCAAGTATTCTGGACCCTATTTGGTAAAAAATTTCGAAACCATAGCCCACTGCGATTATGCATGGATGGAATAAGACACACTACTTCGACAATAGTGCAAAAATTTTGCAAGAACCAACAGTATTTCCTAAAAAAAACTATATTTCCTTGAAGTCCCACGATCCACAAAGTTGACACTTCCGAAACTTACAAATAAACGAAAATTAGCGAAAATTCTGTGAATGTACAGCCCAACTAATGTGGTGCATAAATTAACGCAAATTGTGCTTTGTTAGCATGGAGTCTAAACAGTTGTTAAGACAGGTGACTTAGAAGCATGTGCTTAATGACATGCCAATTCATTACATCAGCAGCATCTGATGTGGCTGAGATGCATCCTTAATTTCATTCGGTTGTGTGAGTGATGCCTGCGAGGTGATGACACATTTGCCACGTGGCGTGCAGTTGAATGTCAGCCTTCTCAACGCTTTTCCCTCCTTCAGGGGCTTGCTTAAAGTTTAGTGAGTTTCTTATCTTTCGCGTGAGGTGGAGACAGAACCCAATAACCTTGTAAGTGCAGAAAAGTTCGTTTTAAACATGAACAGACCTGACTTTACCCCCTCAGGTTACGGGAGAGCCGAAAAAGGAGTGGTTAAACCTTGAATAAAATCGATAATGGGCAAGATCTTCGACAGCCGAGGTTGTCTGTAAAAGAGCGTCTTTTGCCACTGTACCCGCAGGAAGAAGTCCTGACTGGGGTGTGAAATACGTCGAGCCTTTTCATTTGTTTCTGCGCTCGAATAGGTCTGCGACTTTAAATCACTGGTTTCAAATCTGCGCTGGAATTGCTAAAGCAACCAATCATAATATCCAAACAATCCTTTCAAACTTAAGATTAACTGATAGTCAACCGGCATCTCATCTGTTTACCACTTTCCTCCAATATAATCTCTTGAGATGTTTTTTTTTTGAACGAATCCATAACCAGTATGAATGCTCGTCGTTCAGTTATGCTTGACCTCTTTTCCTTCAAATCTGAAGGTAGCTACCACCAGCTAACTACGTTTATTAGTAAAGGAGATATTTTTTTACGGCCTTTGTGCCTAGCATAAGACCGTTAGGGCTGCCTCATGCACCTGCATTTTCCGTGTTGACAAAAGTACGATCGCCCACTTGGCATCCCCCACTTTCCTTATGAGCTGGACCTTCAATTGTGCATCACACAAACAGGCGATTAAGCCAGCATTTTCCGCCAGGGTTGAAACTAATTCTACATCGCTGACGAATTAGTCATCGTCTCTGTTTGTTGCATGGTTTGACAACATTTGATCTCTGGACACTTGCGGTTACCTAGCACTATAGGCTGCCTGCAGAACTCGTCTAAGAAAAGGTAGATTTCGACAAGGTTATTCGAACAGAGTCGAACATAGATTGTCACAAGGGTTGTGACTGAACTCCAATGTAATGCTAGAGCTTGGATCTTGTCAGAAGAAGTGCCACAATTCATGTTTCGAGCACGACAACCATGCCTCAAGTTTACAACCACTTATTCGCTCTTTTTTGCTTGCTTTCATACCAATTACTACTAAAATTGCCCCACTGAACGAAAATGTAACGCTAGTCGCACTTAGTATGCATGATAATCGCAGTGTGATTGAGCATGGTCATGCGTTGTATGGCCGACGATCTCTCAACATCTAAGATTTCCAATGCTCGAATAAAAAGGGGCTTGCTCAACCTACAACGCAAATTTCACAGCCATTTCTTAGCTAGCTTTATGGTGGATCGTGCGGATTTAGGTCTATTAGCCCGGTCGACGCAATCTTCGCAACACACCTCCTTTTCACGATATCGCTATCGATCATGCGAAGCCTCTCCACGCCACCAGTTCCATTTGTCTGACCACTCAGGCACTTGTACTCTTGGAGGTTCACTCAAACTTGATGGATCAACAATCCCATTTAGTCGGACACAAAGTTTTATGCGCAGTGGTGTGGCAGTCACAAATTGGTCAAGTTACCTACTAAACGGTTATCTCTGCCGTCTCTCGTTCTCTTCATGTCTTCTCAGGTATATGGGTGGTGCAACTGGACTAAATCAACACAGCGACCCCTGCATGGTGCAAGGCCACGTAGTGGGGACCAATCCATGGTTTCTCACTAACTTTGCACACGTCTGCAGCCCCCAAATGCGAATTCACCCACTTCTGTGGGGTTTTTTAAGCATTGCGGGATGGCCGCAAGTTACTTCGATGCTTCCAAGAGTACTGACGTAGTGGTGACAGCACGTGATCAAGTTACGTATCTATGTAAGTGGCGACAACTCTCAAGGTCCCTGATTTTTGTGGCTCGAAAGTAGCTCATAAACCCTGCTTGATTAAGTAGTGTAAGGAATCCAGATCAAAGAATGCAGTCAGAGATTGGGAGAGCCAAAGGAAGTGAGGCAATTTGGCCTGACAATTCCGCCTACCCTGGGACTTCTAGCCGCAGAGCTTAGGAAGTGCGTTGAAATATTGCTGCGTGCGATGCGTCGGACACGCTTGTTAACCGCTAGGGCTGTTGTAGGCGTACGCACGTGTCCGTCTATCTCGACTGCAGCGCGCAGTACGCGTATCGACCGCACACGGCGTTGCCTGTCTGTCCCACTAGCGCATGCAGCACTCGGCCCGACCGTGGGATCAACGTGCCGCCTCGTGGGTTTGGGCAACAGCGGATTAACGCAGGCGCAAATCTCCGCCAAATTCGCCCTAACTCAGTAGCCTAAAATGTGATTTTTCCAGTGGGGGTAAATACCCAAAACCGCTTTCGTGCGCATCAATGCTACCTATTTATCGTTGGTGCGCAGCACACATGTCGGAAGGTTCAATCTTGTGGTGCCTATGGGGACCTCACGAACGATGCCTGCTTCGTAATTACGCAATTCCAGCTTTGTGTACACGTACCACCATCTGTTTACGCATCCAATGCGGTTTAACTGCGCCTTTATCTACCCATCACCAAGTCCTCGTGATGGTGGTGTTGGAAGAGCATGATTAAACTTGTACCTGAGTTCAGGTTTTGCTGGGCATCAACCTACAGGTCCGTTGCCTGAAATTATGTAAAAGTGAGTTGGGTAGATAGTCCAATTCAGCATTTAATGATCTCGCTTCATGGGTGTGTTAGTGCCCTCTGTTGACATCGAGCGTGTACTCAGTGACACGTCACCTAATTGACAACCAGTGCATGTAATGGTCAACCCAGTATAAAAACTCCAATTCAATTTCATAGAATCGGTTGGATTAGTAATATAGCCATCTAACTCCACGACTGGCGGCTTTCCGAAGTCGCCTGAACCTAACGTTAGGACGTTCTGTATGAGGAAAGCACAACCGGATTGGGCAACCGGTATCCTTTTCATCGTCAGGCCAAAATTTGGCTCAGAATGCAGGGTAAAGTGGTCTTATAGCCAGCTGGCATGTGTAACTATAGAAAAACACATCTGAAAGTCGTCTATTTTCATTGTTTAAATGCAAACATTGCGTGGAATTTTCCACTCACTGTGCGTGATCTGCGTCAAGTGTTGTGGTCAAGGATGACGAACGACTATCAGTGTTTGAAAAGAAATAACTGAGTGGACCGACAGTACCTAAGTGTTCCGGTCAGTCAAAAGACGAGTGTACAAACACGCAGGACTGGGAACTTGATTACTTGGTCCTCACTTTGTGTAACTGACCCCGGGAAAAAAAGGAAGCAAGGATTGCACGCACAATTCTAGTAAAATTGCTTACAAATGTGTACTTATAAACTGTTAGTACAGCGTCCATTATTCAGAAAACTAAAACTTGCTTTATTCGGACAACCGCGACTGTTATGAAGTCATTAGGGGCTACCTGACTGGTCCTAACTCGCCTCTTTCTCTTTTTTCTTTTCTTTTTTGCCTTTTTTCCCTCCAATCTTCTTTGGTTTAATCCCTTTTACTACCATCATTGTTCGCCACCAAGCCTGCACCTGCAAAACAGCCAGCATGAACTTCTGCTTGTTCTCCTCCTCCTGCCTGCTCTTCTCCACTGCCGCCCTGTGGTCAAGGACAACTTCATTGCAATGCGTATACTCGACCTTCAGGTCCTCGTGGTCTTTGCGCAACTTCTCCAACTTCCTCGTCAACTCGTCTAGGTCCTTGGTCATGTCTTGGACATCAGTGCGTCCTTGTAGGTAACGCAGTCTGTTCGTTTCCTCGTCCAACTCCCCGAAAATCCAGCTAGACGTTTCAGCAACTTGGCGTCTTTCGGCGCTTAAGCGCAGTTTGTAATTTTGGATCTCATCAAAGAGAGCTTTGGTTTGCTCCTCACACGTGACATCGTAGTACGAGGCTCGCTGTTTGTAGGAGGCATTGAGAAAATTTATGGACATCGAGGATAGCTGACGTGTTTCCTGCCACTCATGTTTCAGCCGTCTGAGAGTCTCACGGTACAGCTCCCTTTGGACTTTGAATTCCGATTCGATGATCTGCATTTTCTCCTGTATCGATTTTATCATTTGCTCTTTTTCCAAAGAGGTCTTAGCAAGGTCCAGGAGCAAATCTACGGCCGCTTGTTTGATGTCGCATTGAGCTTTCAGGGTGTTAAAAGTGCCCAGGGAGTCAACCTCACTTTCAAGAAGTTTAAGTACTTCAATCTCCTTCTCGACTTCGCCTATAAACGTCCGCAGAATGCTTTCATCGTTGCTGAGTCTCCGAAACGTGCCATCCTGCAATTCAATGTAGTCCTCTCGTCGACACTTCTCGAACCGAATGAGCGTCTCGAAGAAGATTTTGTTGAGCTCCTGGAGTAGCGCATCACTGTTTTTCTCATTTGTTGTTTCTTCACTGCGATTGGGGGCAGATTGCTGGTTCCCACCGCAGGCAGTGGCTTTAAGGACCATTGACAGTTCTGCGATGGTGTCCGCTAAGACAGCCTTTAGGGCCACACGCATGACGGGCGAAATTGTCACATCCTCGGGCTCTATTATTGGGCTGCTTTCGGCCGAGCTCGTCTCCATTCGCGGTCGATTTGGCCACGCGATTTCAAACTGGAACCCCCTGTAGCCGGTCACCTGTTCGCAGACTGCGTGCCGCGTCCCAAGCGTGCAATTCATCGATTTAAGTAGAAAGCAACAACCGAAATGTCCAAATGAGAGTAAAGTTTTAAAACTTAAATTTCGTTGTCTACTTGACAATTTGTGTTGGTGCCATAAAGACACATTTTTGGCCTTTACAACCTAACTACTTGCCTTTTGGCAAGTCGCGTTAGACACATGTAGCAAATCAACATATTCTAAGTCTTATTCAACAGAGTATCAATCTTTCCGTGTCCTCAGAATTTGACAATCTAACACTACAAACGGTATGCCCAAAAGTAGCTTAGCAAACCGACTACACTCATGCATTTCATTATTAACGAGTACGACAAATGGATTATTTTTGAGCGACTGTAACACCTGCTTGGTCAAGATAGTCTGTGGTGGACAGGCAGCCACCTCGCATGAGTGATGCGTGCATGATGGCCCGAGTGTACCAATGACTCACCCAGTCTGTTATTGGCTGCTGTTGGTGTTCGCCTCTTACTCACGCGTACTCATACGCGCACAAAGCCACTTGGTTGGTGTGACACTAGTAAACGGCTGTTCTCTGTGGCCTCTTTGCCCCCCCCCCTTCTTGGGCTATAACGGGCTGTTAACTAGAGGGTTGTAGGGTAGTACTAAATCCCATCTACTGCAAGTCTGATCGGCATTCCCCGGAGGCGTATTTACTTACAGAACTGTTATTGTTTTGGTAGATAAATATTTGAGTTCAGGGTTCGACTACGACGAGCATTTTTTGGACCTTGGTTCTGGAAAGGATGGTTTTTTCTTTTCCTGAATCTTCTCCAACGCAATTTTATGGGCCTCGAATCACAACGGGTCTGTCACATATGTACTAGGTCAGTTACACTATGCTGGTATCCAGTAAGGGTGAAGAGACCGGCGACGTCTGAGGCATCCGTGTAGTGGTTGGCTCGTGTCTGCGTGCGTTCAAGGTCGTGGGTTCTTATTTGTTGACTGTTAACCAATAGTTAGAGTGAACTGGTAAATGCACAGTTACATGAATGGCAAAGCTGCGTTATTGGATTTGTCCCCATGAGCGACGTGGGCGGGTAGACATGAGTCATCAAGCTGTGATTGGGGTTCCCGAAGCCTCATTTGCAATCCACAAAATGGCGAAAATACCTCAATCATTCCAGCAAATTTAGTCGATTTTGTGTGTAGTTATTTCTTAGAAATCCATTATTATTTACTTCTGACGGTAGAAATAATCCAATTTGGAGGTAGTTCAAGCCAATGAGAGATTTTTAATATTGGCTTTTCAAACATTGATGGGGATCCAGAATTCCCCCTGACTGCTCATCACGGTTAAGAATTTGTCATTGCTTACACAATTCCCCTAACCACGCCACCCCAGTGGGTCTCACCCACTTCAACTTACTGCGTTAATTCGCCCCGATCCATCAAGCCGAGGTCATCTTTGACTTTATAAGTGTGTACATTCTAACATCACTCGGCGTTTGGCTGCGATATTAAAAGCTGTCTGTACGACGTCCTGCCTTGTTTTTCATCGGTGTAGGAAGGTTTGGGGTCTAGCGTCAGACTTGGGATCTGGAGTACCGGTTATCTGGGTGTGTGGCTCTTAGTTACGGGCTAAACGTAACAAATTTACCTAGGAAGTCACTTATCGCAATACCGTAATTTGCTGGGTTTGACAAACATCGGTACAAAAGCAATTTCGCTCCGTGGATTGGAACGTTCAAACGGTAAATAACGGAACATGGTTCTACCCTTATGTAACCGCGAGTATCCAACTCATTCATGCAGCAGTCAGGAAGGTTTTTTTTAAATTACTGATAGGGGAGCGATTTTTTTCCTCATTTACAGACGATGATGAAGTCGGAGACTCATAATGATCAAGTAGGTGTCGGAAAAATATACCAAAACAGCCAATTTGTTAAGTAGTTGACGTTTAACACTCAAATTGCTGCACAAAGGAATTGTGTGAAGGAAACTACCACTTGCCCGCTAGTTGAACACGTGTTGTCAAATGTTTGACGTAGAATGAAATACAAGTAAATTTAAGCCCCAAAAGCCGATGATTTAAAATGCAATTAAAAATTTGGAATACAAAAAAATTTAAAAATACTTTTTTGTTTAGGAATTCTCTTTGAAGCCACCAGTGGATTGTGAATAAAATGTCGTAACTAGTCCCGACTAAAAAGCCTTGTATTCATAAATTTTTGAAACTGTGACCGCAAACAGTAAAGTTGCTCTTAAAAAATTTTCGCGCTCACATTTTTACTTATGGTGTAAAAAGGATAGGTTTGGTGCCTGGAACTTAATAAAACGGGAATGTCGAAAAACCCAGTGAAAAGGTCGCAATGTGACCTTCTTGGGAAGGCTGACCAAATTTTTTAGTTCGAAGGATGGAAGCAAGATGCGTAGAGGTTTCGGAAATATTAGGAACGAAGAAATTTTACCTTGTAAACCAAGAGAGTCTCATTATGCGCTCAACTGCAAACGAGGAACTGTTGAAGACGGACTTCAACAGTCGTCGGTGCAACATGAACTGAAATGCTAATTTCAAACGGCTAGGTCTGGGCGCAGTGTTATTTAAAATAACCAAATGTACAAGATAACAATGAAGATAACAAATCGTTGACATCCTAGTTGCTGATAAACCGATTACGGCTCAGTTTGAATATGACAACTGTGAGAACGAGTCGTTTATTAGTAACACCTATTCCCTCCACACATCACTGACACCCAGTTCCAGGTTCTCACAGCTAAACTGCGATGTCGAACGCACCAATTGGTTGCAGCGATTCCACACTATTGGCAGCACTGTGGAAAACCAGAGTCAATTCTCGGTACCGCATTCAGGCATGCCTATCCCCTCCTACCACGTATACCTTCGATGCTGCAATTCTTTAGTTACGAATGCCAACGCTCCTGACGCTATCACAGTCCACCCTACACGTGGAATTGTAGCGGACTAACAGCGATCGCGCCTGAGTGAATCCTGATTGCCGACCTGACGGTGACAATGACTCGTCCCCTTTCAATTGGTTACTGTTGTCAGACGCCTGTCATCCGCTCACTCATCCACACACTAAGACACACGCTTGGCTGGCGTGACGCTAATAAACGGTCGTGTGCTCTATCGCCTCTCTTTACTCCATTCTCGGGTTTTTACTGGCTGTTAACTAGAGGGTTGTCAAGTAGTGCTAAAACTCGAGCTACTACAAACTGTCCGACATCACGTATTCAGACAGAAAAGGGGCAATTACATGAACAACCAACTGCCAAGTCGTTCGACTTCCAGCGGTGAGGTGCTCCACCAATGCAAACACACCGTCCACCCTTGAACATACCCCACGGTCGATCTACCCTCTCAAGCGCCGACAGAAGAAACGACGTCATTTATGACCGTGTGCTCTGAGTGTCGATACGCTCAATTACTTGTTGACACTTGCGTCGAAGTCCGAGGAGTACGTGTAGTGGCTTGTGGTCTAAGCACAACCTTACAACCCTCTAGTTAACAGCCAGTAAAAACCCGAGAATGGAGAGAAGAGAGGCGACAGAGGACACGACCGTTTATTAGCGTCACGCCAGCCAAGTGTCTTAGTGTGTGTATGAGTGAACGGATGGCAGGCATCTGATACAGTAACCAATGAAAGGGGGATGAGTCATTGTCACCGTCAGGTCGGTAACCAGGGTTCACTTAGGCGCGATCGCTGTTAATCCGCTACATACATATATCGTCTTGTACTCTACCCGAATGACTGACTCAGTGACTCTGGCGACTTGCCGTCTAACAGACTCGAGAAGGCTGAAGTGCTAATCAACATTCCAGATTGCAGTGTGTTAATCGGGAACGAAGAAGCGTAGCCTTTGCTGGATGGTGCACTGGTTTCCCACATGGACACAATGACACTTGAGGGGCTTCTTTACGAATTGAACGTGTTGCAAGTAGTTCGTCGTTTTGCATCATGATTGTGGAGGTATGTCAAAATCTGATAACTTGATAGATAATGAGGGAGGTATATTCTCTGAATGCACTTTTGTATTGCAAACATGCAAGGAAGCCTGGAAATTAAATAGGAAAAATATTCATTCAATACTTGTTTTTCTAAAGTAACCGAAGTCTGATGGTGAAACCAAGTAAATTTTAACATTACTGTTATAATTTTATAATATCTGAATAAGTGCCGTGCTTTTCTCCTGCTGCGGCACGATGCACCATGAAGTACACAAAAAAGAAATGAGACGAGAGGGATAGACTCAAGAGCCTACACGCTGGCTCAATAAAGTCGTGTTGCCTGATACAGAGGTAAAAGTACAGAGTGGATGAACTAGTAAAAGTACACGTACAGGGGTGAACGCGCAGACGATCTCGCGTTGCTAACTTTGAGAGGCGGACAGCGTGTCTGAGACTGCGGCGACCGCGTTAATAGACGTGAACAACACGTCTCACAGCACCCCCTGAATTCCGCTGGGAAAAATGATGTAATTAATGGGACTATGACCTTGCTTCGGAACCGCCGTTAACATGATTAACGCATCTGTCGACGACCTCTGTAAATATGCGTAGTGTACTCGTAGAAGGTCACCGAGTTCAAGTTAATACAAGCAACGTTAGTTTACACTAGTATACAAATTATTATAGTAAATACAATATGTAGTAACAATCCACAGACAGGGTGAAGAAAAAGCAAAATATCTTCTGGTTTGTGTTTACGATTTGCATTAAAATGCCAAATGAAACATATCACCTTGTAGGGGACTGTCATGTAGAGTGAGGCCTGTTCACTGACCTGACGGTGTCAATGACTCATCCATTTTCCCTTGGTTACGGTTATTAGTCGTTTGTCCCCCCACTCGCACATCCACACACAAAGACACACTTGTTGTCGTGTCCGCTGTCACTGTCTTGTTTCGTTTCGGGCCTTTTAGGGACTGTCCATAAGAGGGTCGTAAGGTAGTGCCACTACAAACCCCTAGTTTTTAATTGTCCTTCTTGCCTCAAATTACGTGTTCTCCACTTTTACTTTTTGCGTCGCTTTCTCCCCTTAAATTACGACAAGCATGAAGCAATGCCAACTCTTCCCAACCATTAGCAGGAGGGTAACAAGTTTCATTATTTTCACCATGCAATCACTGCAAGAATTCCTTCTTCGCCTTCTCGTCAATCCATTAGGCAAAGTACTTCCATTTGTGTAAACAATGATAAACCTCGAGTTCAGGAAGATACGCGTGTCATTAAGGTGCGTACCATTCTAATGCGCCCCTGTCATTCCAATTACAATTGCTCACTTCCATGGCTAAGTTAACGGCTTCAGATTGAGGTGCCGAGAAATTACCCCCATCTGACGATACCTGCTAACTTCGATTTTCTTATTTCGACTCGATCCTTCTCAAGCACCCCTTGCATGCCTCGTAGCTGCTTTACTCTACGCTTAAATGCACGAGTCGTGACATCGAAAAAGGCCAAGGCGACAGTTAAAACACTTCAAGTGCATTTGCCCTACCCTCGCCCATTCTACCAAATCGCATTTACTGCTGTCGCAGGTTTAACGCAACGCCTGTCCTCTTGTTCATCGTAAATCTGTGATTTGGCAAGGTTCACCAAGCAAACCAAAAAAAAGCCTTCCTGAAGTGTCTGAATGAACGATTAAAAGGGGCTTCGGACAGCCACTAGGTCATGTCAAATTATTCAACGAGGCAATTTCACCCTGTGAACTCTGTACCAGTGACAGCAATTGCGTTCGGCGTTAATTTCAATGCCAGCATCTCGTAATCACCAATGCTCCTGTAGAAATACGCGGTCAGGCAGTTGAGGCAATCTAGGACTGAAATTAGTAGTTCACTGCTTAGTACAGTTGGATGTCGTGCGTTGTTATGTTTAGCGGAAAAGGAGACGCTGGAAGTGGAAATACGACACCTCAATAACAGGATCTTCCGCTACTACTGCATCAGTCACGTGGATCCCGAGTCCATTTGCACTGGATCAAAAAAAATACTCCATTGTCGTATTTTGTGTCACATGCTTCGACAACGTCAAACTAAACCACCGCGATTGCCTCGTTTTAAATGTCATCACTGAAATTGTGTAAAGTCACGTTAATTCCATTCAAGTCGAGTGGCCAACTTCTCGATCTACTAACTGTGGAGGAGGTCTTATCACGTACACCGGATGGTCAAGCATTTAATTTACTCTCCGTGCGAAAGAATATCTTGTGTATCTGAGGAAAAGAATTAACCTTTACTACGAAGACGAGAAGCAAAATCAAGCGGAATAATTTGTTAGTAAGAGAGTTGGTTGAACGACGGATATCATGATTCCGAAACATCTAAAAACCGATCCCAAGCATGTTCGCAAGTCTATTAACAAATTATCATTTTCAATGGCATACGTGAAAGAAAACACGCTACTTATCAAGGAAGTGTAGTGTCAAAGGTAGGCGGGGTAGATGGGGCTAGTGATGCATGAATACCGTGCCCAGAGTTGATTTTGGTGACATAATAGGCTGCAGCAAGTTGGCGATTTCCACAGCGCTGTCAATAGTGTGGGATTCGCTGCAACCAGTTGGTGCATTCGACATCGCAGCTTAGCCATGAGAAGCTGGAACTCGGTATCAGTGAGATGAGTAGTTAATTTGAAGGTCAAAACTAGCCTTTGCGTCAAATTAGGGTTTCTAGGATGTGTGTGTATGTGTGAGTGTGTATGTGTTTAGAACTGATCAAGTTGGAGACTGTTGTGAGCCCCAGCATGTGGTCTTGAACCACGCCGGGGCCATGGAATTAACCCTGGCCCGATTGCGTTTCCCTGATACCAGCGATGAAGAAAAAGCTCGGAGAGGGCGTGGACACAACCGTTTACTTCAGAGCTCAACCACGTTGGTGTCGTTGTGTCGTGTGTGGGGTTTGCGCGTGTGTATTTATACCTCGGATGTGTGAGTCATACATGCGCTAACATCGAGACCTAGGTGTGAGGATAATGCAAGATAAATATTCGGGCTAATGAAGGGGGAGTTGAGGATTCGCGCGGCTGGCGACACGCTGCGAAAAGGGGAACCCTGTGTCGGAGGTGGAGCGACCGGAGTAGGGGGTTGAATAAACAGGATTCACGACAAGACAATCAAATTGTACAATCAACAACTCATTTTGTTTACTGTGGCTTACCGGCGATGAGGAGGTCGGCAATTAGTTCTGCTTACTCCTTCTATGATTGTGTTCATTTCCTTTTGTTCCATAAATTGAACTAGCTTTTGTATCGTACGTTTTCCAGCTCTAGCTCTTTGAAATTAACATTTCTGAACCTCGTGAATTGAGAATTTGCTAAGGCGCTATCACTGGGTGTTATAAAAAAGTCTTGTTGTGGGCCCCTACATGTGGTCTTGAACCACGCCGGGGCCACGGAATTAACCCTGGCCCGATTACGTTTCCCTGATACCCGCGGCGAAGAAACGGATCGAAGTGGACGTGGACACAGCCGTTTACCTCAGAGCTCAACCACGTTGGTGTCGTTGTGACGCAGGTGGAGTTTGCGCGTGTGTATTTATGCTTCAGATACGTGTGTCACAGATGCGCCAACATCGAGACCTAGGTGCGAGGTCAATCTGGGATAATCGCATGCGCTAATAAGGGGGGAGTTGAGGATTCGCGCGGCTGGCGACACGCTGCGAAAAGGGGGACCCTGTGTCGGTGGTGGAGCGACCGGATTAAGGTGCATGAATAGACACGATTCACAATAGGCCATTTTCACTAAATTGGTACAGTTAAGATATTCCTAATGACCCAGAAACAGTTTACTAAATATTAATTAGCATTTTGCATTTTGAGGCAAAATTGCAATTTTTTCTAACAGTTAGTTTTGGCGCAAAAATTAAGCACTTCAGATGAAATGAATCTTCAAGGCAAATTACATTTAATTTCTAAATATCTTTTTATTAAAGTACCTGCAATTATTAAGCTTTTAGAACTAGTAATAGAAATCCGTCGAAAATCGTGGCAATATTTCTAGTCAATTTTTGTTTTGTTAACATAATTTTATCATTCTGTGTGTCTTTTAAATTTTTTTCCAGATCCCTGTTTCAGTTCCTGTTGAATTTATCCACATTTTGACAGGCAAACCTTTTGGTTAGTAGGACACTGTCAACAAACCACATAATTGTGGCTAGGAGTTCTCGGATTGGCCATAAACCATCGCTAGACATTACGTCTAAAACGCTTATTTTGTTCTATCTATTATTCAAGCCCACCCGATTTTGAACTTTTCAGTGTTAGTTCTAAACTCAAAAAGCATTTGTACGATTAATTAGTCACAGTTCCATGCGTTTAGCTCTCAGGCGTATTTGGCTAAGGCTTTTCTCAACATCGAGAAAACCGACACCGGCCTATTGCTGGAAAGCCAGCAATAACAAGGCTAAATTTCCACTTCAGTGTTAACTAACATTTGTCCGTTTTAAGAGCAGAAGCCTCAAAATAAATACAGCATTCCATAATTACCAAATATTTGCACTTTCTGAGGTTGATTCTTTGAGTCGCAATGTGATAGGTCAAAACATAGGGCTAACGTGACGTTTTCAGCAAACTACCAGGGAATTTTAATTGAGTGTGTGTAACTGAAATTGCTGTTCTGTTAATCTGCATAATTTTGGTACCGGAAAATGCTTGCTTATGGACTTATGACCTTCATTAGCACATCTTTTAACTGAGTGGACAGATTTTTCGATCTCGGAAACTAAATTACGTGATCATTCATTCAGTATTCGAACAAACGAACATTTTCTACTTCCTTATCCTTCATGCTGTTTCAAATATTTGCAGATTTTTTTCAAAGACGGGGGAGATTTCTATTCGTTGTTTAATTTGCTCAAAATACTACGGTATGTTACTCCAAGTAACACTGTTATCCAGGACGCTAACTTCGCAGTTTAAACGAAACCGTGTTAAACAACATCGCCGCGTTTTACCCACTGCTCTACTTTTACACCTGATCAGCATTACTAAGTAATCAATAATTGGTAAATTTACTTGTGCTAAATCAATAACACTTATGTACAAAAATAAACTGACTTCATTATCTAAAGACGCCCTAGGTGCAATCCCCGGATTCATGTATTAGGTCTAACTTGGATTGAGCCTTGTCCAAAGAGGGCTTGTGGGCGGGGAGAGGGAGAGGGTGCGGGATAGGGGTGGTGGGTACTGGTCCTGCTGAGAATCCAGCGAGAGGTGTTTGACGCTGTTTGTGGCCGATGGATTGTTTGAATTGGCATTACTGTTCTCAGATCCCTTGGGGTTCATTCCAACTGCAAACTGCGTGATAATCTCAGAGGTGAGGAAGGCCATTGAACGGATCGCGTTCTTTGTTACCTCCTTGCCGGCCTTCACCACTGTGCCAGAAGAGAAATTAACGTTAGAAAATGAGTTGGTCAATGATACATAAAAGTGTAGGGCTTATTTGAATGGTTTTAGGAGGCGAAATTGAGATTTTGCATGTCGTTGACCGTTATATTTAAGGATATAGTGTAGTAAAATTAGTTTTAGACCGAAATGGTAACCTCCACCTCCTTATATCCAGAAAAATTAGATTTATATTGTGTTTCCGCTCACCAATGAACCTAAGCGGTTCCTGAAATTCCTCCGCGTTACACTACAGGAGAAATTATCACAATTGAATGGCAGCAGCCTCATTCGACGGCATATTTTCCTTGATTATTACACAATTTTCCTCACAGCGACCTCGCATCCAAATCTGCCAGTAATAATTTTTGTCAGATTTCTCATAATCTAATCCTTGGGGGTCCGCACTGTCTGCTTCGATGTTTTGCATGCTTGAAAGACAGGAAGATTAATTGCCCTCAACAAACCACATTGCAAACTAAGGACTATTTCCGCATCGGGCAAAAGGATTTGGCATGATGCTTATTTTTGGCCTTAGTTGTGTTTAATAAATTAAATGCTTCTCTCTTACAAACCACTTATTAAAACACAAATTAACAATTTGAGACGAGAGCCAAATAGTATGTTGAAATCAAATTGCTCAACAATTCAATCTACCCCAGTTATTTGTAGCCTTTGTTTAGGTGACAATTGCTTAGCCAAGTTTTAAATCTTGCGAAGTTTTGTCCAAGGGGCATGAAAAGGCTTTTGGTGAAGAGTTAAAATAAAAAAAGAGCGAACACAGCTTGGCAAACCCCAGTGTGATTCTGGTGTGCCCTTTCACGGTGTCGGTTTCTATCAAAAATCCAACTTCTTTGATGTGTTTCTTCATTGAGAAAAGCAATGTAATGTGTTTTAAATTTTTAATCTAAAACAAGGA